AGCTCCTTGAGAGCAAACAGCACACAGCACACTGCCAGTCCTGTAAAGGCAAGGATCTGGAGCAGCTCTTCACTGACTGAGGGATTGCTGGTGATTAGGAAGGGCCAGGGGAGTGTGGGGCTAAGTGCACAAGGCTCTGCAGTTTCTCTGTTCAGTTTAACACCACCAAGCCCAAGGAGCACTGAGCAGGGTACAGCATGTGCATTTTCTCTCTTCCATAGCACTGTCTCAGAGCTTTAGCACATTCCTGGGTGTCCAATTCATGCAGTATTTTACCCACTATATATAGTTACAAAAACATGCCAATGGAGAAGGAAAAAATAATTCTGGAAGTACCTTAGTCCCTCCCCAGGGTGCCTGCTTGTTCTGCTGTATGTGCATCCTGTGCCCATGAAACCAGACCCACTTGGTTAGGAATGTCTGATGGCCCACTCTCTTCCATGCCCTTGGACTTCACTACATGTTACTTTCAGGTTTTTTATCTTTTATTAATTTGAACACTGGAAAAGGTTTTTTGTGAATTGTTTTTTTTTTTTTTTTTTGCTTCTGATGTTTTCATATAAACTTTTCTAATACAAGTTTAACCAGTTGAATAGAAACAAGAGAACTCCCAGTTGTGGGGATTATATCTATTAATAATCAGACTGGGGTATATTTGTCTGCAATTATCTTTTAAAATTATTATTATATTTTAAAATTATCCTTTAGTTCAGTGTATTTTTAAACTCTGAATGGATCATTACTCAGAAAATATACTGCTTGGTGATACATTTTACAAAGATTTGAAATATGGGCACTCCTCCATGAAATGAATGAATTTGCAGTTATTTCTGAAAAATCTTCACTATCCAGGACTGCTTTATTTCCTGGAATTGTTGCATCTCTGGGTGTATGTGCCCATTTGTCATCATGCCAATCACCCATTTCCTACAGATAAACAGAGGGTCAATACCAGCCATCTCAGGAGCACACACACAGTTGTACAGTTAGATGTGCTGGAAGGTCTGCAGTTAATGTAGAAACCTCAGCTCGTCTCTGCCAGTCCCAAAGCTTCTGCTCCTCCTTTTGCTGCTCAAGGGCCAACAAATAGTTGTCTGATAAATGCTCTGATACAGTTGACTCAGTCATTTGGCAACGGCCTCTAGACAGAGTAGCCCTATCACATCCAATCTTAATTTAATAGAATTAATGCATTGCCTGATGACATAAAACGCAAGGTAGAAGCTTGGCAGAACATTAAGTAGAAGTTTTTCAGCCTAGATAGAATGTCTAGAACTCGGCTTTAGTCATGCTAATGAGATGATGAGAAAATATCAAAAGGTGAGAAGGTTTGAAAGTAACAATAAAAACCTGGGCTTTCACAGGGCTAACATCAGCCTGGCCATCCCGATTGCAAAGAGCCGGCAGCTGTGTTAACCTGCGTATCTTATTAGCAACAGTTACAACAGCTTTTCCTACAACTTGGTTAATTTAGTATTAACTATACTTAATGGCTTGTTTATGGTCATGTGAAAGTGTTATTTTCGCGTTAAGATGCTAATCCCCAACTCTCCAGAAATCAGGAATATTTATAAACAGGTGGTGGCTTTAGCAGCGGCGTTCCCCGGCTCCCAGCGCCCCAGGCCCGCGGAGGAGCGCGGGGCGCGGCGTGGCCGGAGCGCGCGCGGGCCGTTACCGTGAGGGCAGGGCGCGAGCGCGGCCCCTCAGGGCACCGAGCGGCGGCCGGGATGCGGGAACCGCGGGCGGGCAGCGCAGGCGGGCGGCCCAGGTACCGTGGGCGGGACGCAGCACCGTGGGTGGGCAGGCCAGGGCAGGGGCAGCAGGCGCGGCCGGGTCGGCGGCGGAGCGGGTGCGGTGCCCGCCGGTACCGGAGCCAGAGGCCGCCGGCCCGCCTGGGCTCGGCCCCGCGGGTGCCGGGGCGGGTCCCGGCCCGTCCGTGCCCCTGCAGCCGGGGAGGGGAAGGCGCTGGGCGGGGGGCCCCGCTCCGGAGCACGGAGGGCGTGCGGGAGCTGCGGGGGCGGTAGCGGGGTGAGAGGAGGGGGCGCTGTGCAGGGCAGTGAGTGCGGAGAGCGGCCCCGGCTGAGCCATCGCCGAGCGGGCCGGGAGCGCAGTGCCCCCAGCAATGCAACACACGCGGGCAGACACGGGAGCTCGGCAAAACAAATGCCTGGTCCTCAAGACAGGCATGCAGTTTCTTGGAAGGGTGCTGTGGTCGAAAGCTGTCATCCAAAACCAGCACAAGAACTGCCTCTTAGCAAAACACATGAACACGCAAACACCTCTTTTTCTGATGCTTAACTGAGGTGTGGCCTTAAAGCACGCTGGCAGATGTGGAAGCGCCACGGGTTTCTTTTTTACCCTCTTTAAAAATTAACTCTTACCTCTTACCTTTACCGCGGAGCAGCGTGGGTACGGTGCGGGCAGGCACCGCGGGCTTTCCTTGCAGCAACTTGTTCTCCATGCACTCAGCCCAGTCCTGTTACTGGGAGCTCTGCTTGCTGCTTTAATTTCACTCTGCAGAGCCGGAGACTTAAATTATACACAGGTCAATGGTAGGACATTTTCCTGGGGTTTACTCATTTGAAACGTTTTTTTAACTTCTAAATGTGCCAAGGCACGTATGTCCTTGTGGTGCTTATTTATTAAAAATAACCATCTTGCTTATGCCAGCAGCTGCTGTAAAAATGCAGTTTGCTGCTTTTTACATAATATGGCGTTAAATGTAATTTTTGTTATTTAATATTTGAAAAATAATGTTCAGTTAATGGTGGCAGATTAATTGAATGCAATATTTGTATGTAATATTGTCTTTGCTACATAACCTGGACTTTATGTCAGGTTGATGAAAACTTGAGTTAGCACAGGTCATTTGAACCAAGGGATTGGCTGTGTGGTTTCATGTGTTGTACAAGAAAGGTGCTTTGACAATTTTGCCATTTTGTGGCTCTGTTTGCCGCCTTATGCTGGAAGAACACAAAGCCTCTGTTTGCTTACTTCTTCCTTTTGATGTCATCTCATTGTTGTAGGCTTTTCTATCGCTTCCTGTGCAGCTTTGCCTGGGACGGTGGTTTTCAGTTTTTTAATGGGTCTGTGAGTTGAGTGGCCAGTGAGAGATTGCTGAAATGGTACAAAACTGAGCCTGCAATGAGTTGTCCGGGGGCAGCTGTAAGAACCAGTGGCAGCAGTGCCTTCAACAATCTGGGACTTGATTTAACCTTTGGGACAGAGGGGAAGTTCTGTGAAATATATAGGAACAGTTAATTCTCTTTTGTTAGCCCTAAACCGAGGTTCAGCAAGCAGTCCCAGTGACATTAGGTTTCCCAGCCTTTTGAACGATCTGCAGCCGGAGGAGCAGAACAGGAGCTCAGTATTATGTGGGACCCCCGGCAGGCGAAGGACGGGCACTGCAGCACAGCTGAGCCTCCTCAGGAGCAACCTACACGGATCACACGGCTCAGGGCAGCACTCGTGACACGGCGCTCGGACAATGAAGTATTGTTCACATTTATCTCCTATCCTACACTTGGGCTTGAGACAGAGTTTAATGAATAATAAACCTACACACATTTGGGGGTTTGCTGGTTTTCCTGAATGCTTCCAGATATTTTTGCTTTCTAACAGAATGTATGGAATTCAACAAGATACAGTTTTAAATACTGTTATTTTTAACCGAGGACAATATTTGTTGTTGTCTTAATGTTTCCATTATGAGCACAGAGCACCTTAATCCTGCAGCAGTTACCATTGCTTGATTCCTTTTTTTAGGAAACATACACATTTACTTAGGTGAAGAAAAACATAAACTAGTTTGTATGATGGTATCTGGTTGGACAGAGAAACTCTAACCAAAAGTATTTGTCATTTCAGAGAGCACTATTTGCAGACTTCTTAGAGACCCATGCTGAGTACTTAGAAAAGATGAAATGGGCTTTTATGCTTTCACATCTCCTCAGTTGCTTTGTTGGGTTCTTGGGGAGGAGATCCCCAGCTGAAAACACAGCACAAAGAACTAAGGATTCTTTAGAGGAGAGTATTTATTCTAAACAGGCTCACCATCAGCTTTATGTTTCAGAGTCATTCTGATTATGGAGCACTGACACAAAAGAAGGTAAGGATTTTTTTTTAAGAAGCATAAATAAGCCCTGAATTTTTTTGTTGTTGGTATAAAGATTATACCCTCTCATCCTCTCATTTCTGCAGTCGTGTTTCTTGCCCATAAAAAAGACTTTGCAAGAGTTTTTAGGTGGTTATTTGCCAAATCTGTTAGTGAAAATCCTTTCCCAAATAGGCCATTGCATTTTAGATGTAAGGAGTTTGTGGTAGAGTTTCTCTTTATTACACAAGAATGAACTTACAGTTTTGCAAGTCTTTGCTATTGTCTTTAACCTTTACTTTTAGCTGGTTTGAGATTAAAAATAGTGAGTCATGGGTCTTCTGTGCACATGGAGAAAAGCAAGCACTGTGACATTACTGATGTTTTCAGATTTGGCAGAGTTGGAAAACCAACACAGAGGATGAAGAGGGACTGCATCTAATGCTGCCTCAATTCTTGTCATTTGCATTCTTGCTCTCAAAATAGGATGGTGTTTGGAAGGATATATGTTCAGAGTCTATAGGTGCTTGAGGGGTGTTCAGCAGGATAGACCTAGCATGAAACTGGGGGAAAACACCCTGTTTCTGGGCCTTCTCTTAGGTACAGATGACGTGTGTGTCTTCAATGGATAGGGACAACAATATCCCTAAACATTCTGTGATTATCAAAATGTAACCATGTCAGCAGCCCAGCACCTCTCCCTGGATAAGGACATAGGATGTTTCCCTGAATGAGCAGCCAAGGAGGATGCAGTTGCTAGACTGTGGTGTTTCAATAACCAGAGGGTGCAATATTTCCCATGGAAAGCAGGGCACTTCCTTGTTTTCCTAACGAGGTGCACAGACTGGCAGTGTTAACCTTGAGCAACCTTTTCTCTGCAGTGTTCTCAAAGACAAGCTCAGTCCTGTTGCCTTGAAATTCTTTTATTCAGTTCTTCTACAGTTAAGGTTTACATTTCAGTTCACAGAAAACTGGTTGTTCTTCTCCAAAGCTCACACAGCTTTCACCTCAGCCAGACTGTCTGCTCCCCACCCCCATTTACAATGTACAATTCCCACTTGCAGCATTTTCAGTAAACATGGGATCAATTGAGTATACAGAAAAAGCTTCTATAAAATTTCCATTAAAAAAATAACAAGTATTTATTTACAAAGTGTTTGCTACTACAAAGTAATATTTCCTATTGGTTCAAATATACTATTTGCTAATGCCAGTGTTCCTATTAGGAAAGTAAAACTTTGTATATGCACTTTTCTTTATATCTTTGTCAGTGTTTAAAGCACATAAAATACTACCACATTTTTTTACACTACTCCTAGCCACGTACAATGTGGTAGTGGAAATTAACACTATTTGTTCAGGACAAAAAATCAGCATAGCTTAATAGCAGACTTTCTGCAAAAATAAAACTTTAGTTTATAATTTATAGGTATTTGGAAAGAGAGAAATCTATGGAGAATTCAAAAATATGCAGCAAATGAAGATGAATGGGAAACTTGGGCTTTCCTGAAGATACAAGAGCTTAGCACAAGAAAAGGGAGAAGTTTCCACCAAAGTGTTTGTGTGACCCTTTGTGCCAATACACATCTTGGGGAGAGCAAGATGACTAGATTTAAAAAATTAATTAAAACTTCAAATCCCATATAATTAGCATGCTTGTAATTGGATTTGCCTCTTCCCACCCACCATGTTTACAAAACCCTGCTTTCAGATCAGCATTGGAGGTCATTAAATAGCTTTGTCCATGACTGGCCTTGTTCTTAAAAAAAAGTTTAATTTAAAAGTTAATAGACTTTCAAGTGGTTTCTGCATTTTAAATATAAAAAGGAAGTGCTCTACAATTACTTCCATGTAGAATATAGTGGATATTAAAAAGTGCTACTGTAAGGGCAGGGAGGAGGGCCAGACCTGCCTTTTCTACCCCTTGCTGCATGTTGTAGCACCTTCAGAACATGGGCTGACGGCACATCAGCGTTCAGAATTCAGCAACAATCCTTGCCAAGGGCTCATCCACTGCCAGATCATCCCCAGGTGCCAGCAAGCAAGGCCTGGTGTAAAACTCTGCCTGTGCTTGCTGGCCAGGTTCTCCTGATGCTGAGTAAGATATGCAAACACAAAGCTTGTGCCTTGGTGCCAGGGCAGGGTTTGCAGTCAGGGCCTGAGCAATGAGGACAGGCTCACATCCTACTTCTTACAGGTTTGTTCAAAGTAGCATTCATTTCTTTGTACAGTAGGTGCCTGTGAGATACAGTGTCATACCATGTGCATTTGCTTCTCTGAAGCATTTCTCATGTATACAGCCTGGCCTTTAGGACAAGGGAATGTTTCAGAAACTTGTGTGATGGGTTGTGATTCAGCTGGTGTTTTCCTGGGGAAATTCTGGGAGATCCACTTAATCCCTGCATTAGTATGACCAAATCTACTAATTGTTAAAGTTACAATAGCAATTTAACAAACCCATCAAAAAGCCTGGAGACTGGTTTTGTGGACTTTACCTTTTCTGATAATTTTAACTTTTGTGGCCATTCAGAATAGTTGTATGTGACCTGAAAGTGTCAGCAGGAAGGGCAGCACAGGAACCAGGCAGTGTGAGGGACCAGTGTTTCACTCACCATGGAGAGGAAAATGGGCTAAAACCAACTCAATCTGTATTGGAAAGTTTCTGCATAGATGAGTTTGATTTGCAGCTCCAACTGGGTTTAAATTTGACATTGCTGTATCCTGCTATGCCACACTGTCCATATTTCTGAAGTACCCATACCTGGAGAACGTTAAGTTCTTAAGAATGGCATTTAGAGAAATCAGATTTAAGTGACTGCACTTTTCTAGCCAATCCAGAGGACTAAGAATCTTAGAGATGCAAGTTTGGGCTACTGGGAGGTTCCTGTGTCTGCTTGGAATTATCATGGCTCTGTTACAGATACTGACCTGACCCAGGTCAGTCTGCTTTTCTTCTTAGATAAATGCAGAACTATTTATTTGCTCCATGCTGGTTCTAGTAGGAGGCTTTTCCCCTGGGATTTGGATGGTTAGATCTCAGATGTTACTTCTGACCAATTTTGAGCAAGGATTTTTGGTGTCCTGCAGTTGAGCTGGATATCCTAAATGTTGGATTCTTTGGTACTCTCAAAAATATGGAAGCAGGAAAGAGAACATTTTGCTTTTGTCTGATCTCTGGGTGGGCAGACAGGGTAGGTGTATCAAAGGTGGAGAGTGACTATCCAGCTGCAGTGAGCAGCCCTTTCAGCTGGTCCTGGCAGGCTGCTGTGATGAGCACTGCCTCCCCTCCCTGGCAGTGCCAGCTGGGGAGGGATCTGTGGATGGCCCCCCAGGCACTCAGACTGAAGGAGCTGGGGGGCTCCTGCACACACAGCTCAGCAGTGACTTGCAAGAACAATAATCCTTTGCAGAGGGAATGAACAAATGGGAGTAACATTGGTTATGGGTAGTTTTTGGCAATATATCTGGACTGGGGAGAGAAGAGTTACTCACAGCCTCTTAAAAATACTCACCAGACAAAATTCTAACAGACAGGAAAGAGATAATCTGATTTGGGAACTTTGTTAAGTCTAAGGACTGAGTTTCATGAAGTTTTATGGTATCAGGATTGGGTTGTGTGAACACCTGCCAGCAGAAAATGAATTATTTAGAGCTTTTCATGTGCTCAGGTAGGTGTCCACAACATCACAAATGATTCATTGGTACACTGCTTGCAGACAGAGGCCAGAATTCAAGAAGTGGCACATTTTAAACAACAAACCTCCATAAACAGGCCCTTGGCTTCTCGCTCTCCTGTTCATCACTAATGCTGCAAGAGGCACCTGAGACACCCTCAGCCCCAGTGACCCAACTGCAGCAGAAGGATGTCACCTCCAAATATGGCTATTACTAGAATTTTTGAAATCACAAATTAAAAAAGCACACATAGTCTTTCCCCAGCTCATTACATCTGGTTATTTAATACAATGATGTTCCTGAGAGATTCCTGGAATGAAAAGATACAAATGAGGTGGGTCAGGCAGGAAGGTAGCTTGCTTTGGTTTGTTTTCTCTCCACCATACCCTGTGGTGCTGGCTTTGATTTTAAATGAATCCAAACCCCAAACATCTTTAACTCACTAAAGGGAAAGTCTTTACCATCAACTGCCTGGATTATTTTCAGCTGAAAAGGGCCAGTTAACTACACAAAGGAGTATTGCCCAGAGTTCAAATGTGGTTAAGTTTCAGCCATACTCTCGAATTAAAATAGTGGATTTGGCCATAAAAAAGAGCACTTGAAATTTTAAACCTTAACTGTGGAATTGTAAATTCAAGCATCATTTCATGTACAAACATGAAGGCCTCATTTTTCTTTAAAAAAACAAAAGGATTAAAATTTGATTATTAGGCCTTTTTACATAATGTTACTTCAGGCTGACAGAGTTGATCAGGAGAAGCCCTTCTGTGGGAATTCTGTATCCTCAGCAATTTCTAGCCACTCAAAAGGATTTAGGGGTATTTGCAAGCTGTAGTTTAAAAATTAAAACCCCTTAACCAAAATGGAAACACCTACAGCAGGGCTTTTACTGGGTTTATGGTGTTAGTTTAAGTCATACCTTCAGTTGAACTGGTCTTATTTGCTAGAGACACACACTTTCTGAGATTAGGTGGATTGTTGGCATTAATTCCAGTGTGGAAATGAGAAGACTGGTGCACTTTAATACAATTTTAAATACCAAAATCCACAAACATTATGTTATATTTCCACATAATGGAAAAATGCTGTCTCCCACTCATAGTTTTTCATCTAGATAGTGGAGCTGACAAGTTTTTCTAAATCAAATTTGGGTTTTTCAAGCACCACATAGTTAGTCCAGAAATAAAGTTGTTTAGTGCACAATAGCTATAAAGGCATTTACATACAGCATTATATTGCTTGCAGTCAAGTGCCTCCTGAATGTATAACCAAGAGAGAGTGTTCCAAGACACAGAAACATAACTTAAATTTACCTTAAATATAAGATAAATTTGATAATGAAAATTTGAATAATTAAATAAATTTTAATAATGAAAATTTAAGTGCTAACTTTTTCTCATATGAAGTATGACCTAGTACCAGTTGCTGCTTGATTCCTGTCAATGAATGTCAGGGGTATTGCATGAGACAGGAGATGATGATGGAACTGAATAGAAAATGGGAACACCAGGCTTGGTCCTGACCATTTTATTGTGGAAAGTGTTTGCTGGCTCTCAGCAGGAGGGACGGCCTGTGTGTTGAAGCAGCTGTGCCATAAGCACTGCCATGAGCTCAGTCAGAGCTCTGTGGTTTGTTAATATTCTCAAGCCCCTTGTGACTCACGATTGCAGCAGCTGCCTTTGGTGAGGTCTTGCATTTACCTGTTTTGGTCTGTGGTTTTTGTGTCTTTTTTAAATATGGCAGCTAAGATCACCAGGAATGATTGAAAAGTTTGCCTGAGATCATACACAGGTGACTGTGGCTGGATCAGGTCCCAAATTCTCCTGGTTCTCAGACTTTAGTGTGGCCACAAGACTGCAGTGCTTCAGTTGAACTTCATCCTCAACTGGTATTTGGCACAAAGAAGCCTAAAGAAAGAATTTACTTTTGAAGTCTCTTCTAAATGTTCTAACTTGTTTTGTCCTTTGTATTCAACTAGTCCAGGAAAAATAACTATTGAAGGCTTGGTTCAACTGTCAAATAAATGTTATGTGCGCCCATATTTTTTATCTTTAACTTTGATAGTTTGATGTTTGCCAGAAAGCAAGCAGCTGTGCAGGCTGCAGCTTTGAAAGGCACAGACCTCAATGGAGGAAAGGCGTCACTGAAGATCTTCCCCCTGTAAAGCAGACTGACTGCTAATAAAATACATTCCATTTCTGGCCTGGAAGCCTTTTTTTGCCAGGTTCTTATAGTTCAAAGTGCTGCTCTTTAGGAACTGTTTAGTGTTTTGCTGTTTTTTCTTTTTACACTGATCTTGAGTGGGAAGTGTGAAGAAAGTGTAAAGTTAAATGTGTCCCTAATGTATTGTTGGGGAGAGGGTGGCATAACTACTCTGGAAGATATTTCCCTCGTAAAGAATTCCTTAGGCTCATGCATATATAAGTTACCTTTGATATGTCCTTTCCAGTGAAGCTTACTGACAGGGCAGTTTTGAAAAAGCAATGGGTTTTTTAAGAATGAAAGTGATGATCTGTTTAAATGAAATGTCAGTCATGAAGCTGACAATTCCATAGTAGCATGTGTGAAGTACCTGTTCCCTTCTCCCTCCATTTCAAAAGTGAGCCACTTGGCTCTATGCACTGACTCTGTCAGCAAGAATACTTTTTTGTATCTGGAAAGCTTTTCTGGTATGGAGGTAGTGTTACAGATTCGGTGGAAGTGAGGGCTGTAAAGCCCTCAGTCTGCTGCTGCCTGTGAGCCACGAGCACAGGATGGGCTGAACAGTCTTGCCCCAAGGGTGAGTACCATAGCAGGCATTTTAGTTTGTGCATTTGCTATTCATTTGTGCCAAACAGCTCAGTCAAGGGCCATACCTAGTACTGGTGCTGCCCTCAGGTACTGCTCAGGTGCAGGAGTTTGAACTGTCTGTGAGAAGTTCCTATCTGGATGCTTCTGTTTGTAATGGAAACGTGGGGGTGGTGCTTGTCTGTGCCTCACAGTTTTACCTGTCCAGTGAGCAGCCAGCCCTGGGCTAACTCCTGCACACAGCCAGGCAGCTCTTGAGCTGGGGCCTCATTTTCTCTCTGTAGCTCAGGCTCGGTGCTTTTGGATCTTGCTGGCCTGAGTGAGTGCAGGTCTGGCTGTAGAGGATGTGGACACAGGCCAGGCTGTGAGAGTGATGCTGCCAGCAGCCCAGGGTAGCTGCTGCCATTGCTCAGTGAGCAGCAGCACAAGGAACCCCATCCATCCCCCAGAGCAGAACAGAGCCAGGACAGCTGCCTCAGGCAGCTGAGACATGGGGCAGCCCCCTGCAACAGTGGGAAAACTGGAAAGATTGACCTTATGAAAAACAGTTAACTTAGAGCTAGGCAAAGTCCTGGACACTGGAACACCATGGCAAGAGTACATTTACAGTGTATTTTACATTGATATTCAAGGTTTTGGGTTTTTTAAAGGTCTTTATGATTGGATGTGATGTTAGCTATGGAAAACACAGCCTCCTGCTGCAAGTCTGAGTTTAACAGCTCACATGGGATAAGTGCTGGGTACCTTGAGCCACAGACTATTTTACATGGTTTGACATGGTTGAACTTTCAAAGGTGCATCAAGGTGAGTGCAACTGAATTTACTGATAAGAAAGTCTGTCAGAATCCAAGCTGACCAGAATGCAAAATCTGAAATGATGTATTGTTGAAATTACTTATTTTTTTCCTAAGAACCTCAGCCCATGACTTTAAAAGTTATGTTACCTGCCCACCCCAAATCTGAAAGGACTGCCTTGAAAACACACTGCCTGAGATCCTTAACATAGAGGGAGGCCTTTTTTAAAAAAAACAAGACATGCTCTAATATCAAAGGGATTATATAAAGTTAGAACAATAAAGGAGAAGCTACACTGAATACGCTGTCATCTAGAAATACAATTTTTTTCTTATTTTCCTTGAAAAAAGCTGGTGCAGAGAATACTGTTTTTTTTCCTGACTGTTTTAATAATGGCTAAGAATAATCACTTATAATAAATTAGGCCTGCAATATAAATGAACATATGAACCTTTTATACTAATGGTTCTTGTTACTTTTAGAGTATCTAAAATGGATATAAACTATTTCAAGATTCATTTAATCACTTGCAATTTATATTACTTTAAGAATCTTCTATACAGCAAGTTGAACAGAAAAAAAGCAAACATTTTAACAGCCCCTTTTCCCTACAACCACTTTCATACAAGATAGTTTTAAATAATGATTTTAGCACATTTGTGTGCTCTCTCCCCCTTTTTCTAAAGGCAGAACAGCCAAAAGACAATACAAGAATCAGCTTTTACTGACTGACTGTTTTCTTCTCCATCTGAAAAAGACAAGGGGAAGACAGATACTCGAGTCCCAAAATGGAAAAGATGATCTTAAGGTTTACTTTGCCAAATCTCCAGGGCCTTTGTTCTTTTCCTCATTTATAGTTTATAAAACCCACTTTCCTCTGTCTCTACATGTCACTCTGTGTTCAGTTACACAATTCTTCAATTTCAGCTATGGATAAACTTGTTTGGAAGCTTCCATTTTGGTTCACCAAACACAGTGCAAACCAAGGCAAGAAACCAGTAAAATCCAAACAGGAACTCCCATTAAGAATATTTGAGCAGCATTTTGTATATTCCATTTTCTACTGTCCTCATTCTGGGGAGGAAGAATCCTCATCTTCATCCTCTTCATCTTCCTCGTTGAAGGAGCAGGGTGTCTCCCCCCGGGACGCTGCGCTGCTGGACTGCTGACTGCTAGGGGCAAGCAGCTGCCCAGTTGCTAAGGCCACTTCAGCATCCAGACACAACCCTGCATTCTCACTAGCAAGACAACACAAAGGGGGAACTTTAGAGGGCTTCTCAGGAGGTTTGAAGCTTTTTCTTTTTGGCCTCAGCTTTTCCTTTAGTCAGAGAAATGCTACCAACAAGGAAAAATCCCAAAGTGTTGCAGTAAACACAGCTATTAGTTAGGAGAGTTGATAAAACAATGGAAAATTGCATAAAAAAGAATATTGGGTGACTTCCTTTTTTTTTCATAATCAACTAGTAGAATTGCTTAAGCTGAAGAAAAGGAAATCCATCTCAGTTTCTTTAATACACAGAAATGTTTGCAATATAAAATGAAGCTGTTAATTGCTATGAGAAAGAGCCTGCTCCAAAATAATAATCCCTATTTCCATTTTTTGTGGTACAGGTAACCTCCAAGCAAAGTCTGCTGCTGAGGCGTATTTAAGGTTGGGGTTTTGCTCATGGTGTTTTTTTTGTTTGGTTGTTGGTTTTTAATTTTAAATTCTTATTAAGTTGTGTGGACTAAACTTCTTTCATGAGAGCTTAAATAGCAGTGCATTTAGAGAGCAGACATTCTTGTGCATTCTTCAGAAATATTACCAGGCTTTTATCCACATGTAATTATCTATCTGTAGTCCATGCCCAGGCAAGAATTTAAGGTTTTAATCAGGAAAAGGGGCTTGAAAGTGATTCTATTCTTATGAAACATAGGTACAAAATAGCTGGTATGTTCAAAGCGTGTTGATTTGGCCTTTCAAACATAATTTTCCTTCAAGGAAGACAGAGACTTTTTCGCTATCAAAATCAGCCATGATAATATCTCAATTCCTGCATGCAAATGGTATGAAATAGCAAGGTTACTGAAGTACCACAAGCATATATAACTATTCTTGAATAAAAAATAATTTTATTTACCTTGATTTAGCATCATATGTGCTTCCAGCTGCCTCGAAATGGGAAACTGCTTGTGCTGAACTTGAAATTAACCCTTGGTTTATCCATGAAAGTCCTGCAGACATATCTAGAAGAAAGCATAACTATTTATGATAGTTACTTATGTTTTTTCTTTTACAATTTTAAACTTTGCATTCTCTTTGTAATTAGGATCCCTTAATTTAGTTTAGAAGGTACCAGTAGCTTGAGTTTTATACTGTACATGTGTCCTGTTCAGTCAAGATGAAATGATATCCTGTGTTTGTGGATGCACTCGGCTTTTTCCCCTGTCTGAAGAATATTCACCTGGCTGGTGACTGTATGCAATCACAGGTATCTGAAATGAGTTCTGGAGTCCTTCATGGAAACTTGCTGCAACAGCCTGACCCTGTGAAATGCCCAGACAGCTCCAAGTGCCTTGGCTGCCCCACTTGGTGAAGGTACAAAAGGAATTGTGTTTATCTGGGTTTGGACAGTGCAGTGAAGCCACCCCCAGGCAGTCTCTGTGTCACTGTGTGTGTCCTGGTGGCCAAAGGCAGTTTCAGCCTGGTGCTCTCATGGCTGGCTGTGGGGCAGCCTCCTCACCACTCTGCCTCCAGCCAGAGCTGGGCAGCAGCTCTGGACATGCACAGACCATGGCAAAGGGCTGGTGCCAAGAATGGAAGGGAGAGCCTGTTGTACATTGCACAGGAGACATGAAAGGCACTCTCCTCCCTAAGGATAGGAAATGGGGGCGTTAAGACCATTAAAATGGTCTGGCAATAATGCCAAGTTTCTTCAGGTAGTTTGTTAAAAGCTCCCTGAGAGATGTGAAGAGGTTACTAACAACCCCCACAATACTTGTTTTCAAATTCCCTAACAACTTATGCCTGTCAGTTGTTTCCAGTTATGCACATTACTGCCAAGAGAATCACCAAGTCTACTGACCCAATTACATTTATTGATTTTTTTTTTTGGTGTGTGTGTTTCTAGTTTGTTTCTGAGATAAGGCATTTCTATTCACCTACCCAAATTCTATCTTGACACAAAGTTAATATCAAGACAAAGTTTTACCAAGACTGTCTAGTTCTTTTCTATGACACTTGCATCTGGTTCCAGCTAGATGCATTAAATCAGAAGTTAGAGTCCTTACTGTTAAACTCTGTGCCTAACCAAGCCTCTGTTTTAGACAGCACAGTGGCAGTAACTGGGACTGTACTACTCATAATTATCTAGAGTTGTTCTATAACAGGTAAGAGAAATAACTGTGTTTGTTACACACACATTCTCATTTGTCCTGTGTCCTTGTCAAGCTTTGGTTCCTCTAGATTTGGCAGTGCTGCCTAGCACAGGGACTGTTTTAAGCACGTTGACACAGCCATGTAAGGTGGCTCCACAGGCTGCCTTGGTTTGTGCTGTGAAAGCTGTTGCAGCAAGGTATTTAAATGTCATGGTACAAAGCAAGGCTAGCAAGGGTGGTGTTCCTGGCAGCAGTCCTTGGAACATGATAGCAAACGTTGATAAGTGGCAGCTTTAGGGTGATGTGTGAGGACAGAATAGATGAGAACAGTTAAATGGGGCTGGAGCTCGATGTCTTTCATCAGGATTGCCCTAAATGCAGGTTTCATGTTACAGAGAACATGTTCTCACAGCTTCCTCCTGTCCGTGCAGGAGGAGGCTAAACCATTTGGAATGACTGCATTGTATTTACACTAATAGAGCTGTGCCACAGTGTTGTTCCCTGGTATTTTGAAAGAGTGTGCCTGTCTGTACATGTTTAATATTTCAGAAGAATAACAAGACACTGCTGCTAATCTTGTGGTTTATAAACATTTCTGGATAATAGCTGGTTAGCTTTCTTTTAGAAGAGCAAAGTAGAAGCATGGCAGAAATGTGGTTCATAACAGCATATCCCTGCCTTGAATTTTCATTGCCTTATATTTCTAAATATAATACATATAAATATAATACATATTTCAACAATATAATATATGTTTCAATTTTCCAGTTGGCTCTGAGGAGCAAGGGATAAGAAGTTTGTGAAAGGTGGGGAGTTGAAGCCATTTTCACTATGGTTAAAGTCTGTCAAAACAGAAGTGTGCCTACAATGAAAAGCCTTATTTCTTCTGGCAATGTAGATCAATTACTAATAGCTGCACTTAAAACCAGGGAAAGCAATTTGAATAAACCTTCCCAAGGTGGTGCAGTCCAATCCAGTAGTGGCATTGTTACATACTAGGCATATCTTGTAGCAGATACACTTGGTAGAAATTTATACTTTATTTGAGAGGGCTCTAAAGCAATACCCTCAGTAGCTTTAGCAGTTCATGTACAAATGCTGCATGGGAGTGCTCTTGACATCTGAACAAAGTTGCTCAGGCAGTGGGTGCTCCTTGCTCTTTAGTTCCATCTCCAGCCTGTTTTCAGTCATGGATAATTACACAGGTAAACAGCAGAGCACTTCTTCACACAGGGAAAAAATACAAGTCCTAAACTGCACCACTTTGCTCACTGCCTTAGTGGGATACATAAGGTGAGATGTTGTTACCTCAACTGTTAGTGCCTCAGAAACCTTATTTCCTGCTTTTTTTAAATCTGCAGCCTCATTTCTAGTAGTCACAACTCAACTAACAAAGGTGGGACTTCGTGTTAAGTGCCTGTAGGAAGTACACAGCCCAAAAAAGAGAGTTGTTACTCTGGCTGCCATTCTACGAGTTGATGCTTGTCCCAGGCAGTGGAGTCTTTCTGCTCACCCAGCAACCTCAGTCCCCCTTTGCACTTGAGCTGTTCTGGCTGGAGCCCTTTGCTACATAGTTGTACTTGTTCAATTGATGCAAACTCCCTACATAGTTCTACTTTAGTTCTACTTGTTTAATTGATGCAAACTCCCTACATAGTTCTACTTTAGTTCTACTTGTTTAATTGATGCAAACTCCCTACATAGTTCTACTTGTTCAATTGATGCAAACTCCCTACATAGTTCTACTTGTTTAATTGATGCAAACTCGTCTGCCAGACAAAGCCTGCACTTTAGTACCCCGAACCAGCTCAGGGAGAGCACATGGGAAAGCACTGGGTCAAAATGCAGAAATGGGCAGGAATGTATAATTAGGATTGTGTCCTTGGGATGTCCTCTTAAGCTGGTGCAAGTGTCATGTTTTAGACATTGTCAGTTATGATAGTCAAGCAACAGAAAAGTGTGTTACAAAAATAATGTAAGATACACAGAATCTTTTTCTCTAGGAGGTCAATATGCCTTAGCTTCTGCTGATTTTGGTGGCAGGCACACCTGGGGATCACACCAGTATTTAAAATGCATATTACAAAAATACATTTATTTGCTAAAACATGGTGAAACTAGCAAACCTAGAAGACACTACTTTTATGAAATTTGGGCACTTGAAGAATGGCTGAATTCACACAATCCTCTTCAAAAGAAAATCCACCAATAAAGCTTTGATGTGCACATCATCAGTTCAGCAGTTCCAAGCATTTTATGTGCCTGTTCAATGCAAATAGAAAGTTACTGTTTTTCAAAGCTGAGATGGTCCAACATTTTTTGTCAAGTTAAAGTTTCTTTAGTTTATCTGGTTTACACTTAGGATTCTTCCAACTGCTCCTTTAGTCCTACTGGTAAGCATTATAGTACAAACTACTGTTAGTGTGTAGAAGTCAGGAATGATCTGAAAAAATGTCCAGGCTAAGGTCAAACTAACATTGTACAGGAAATAATTCACCTACTTGGACATGTTAGAACAGGACTGGCTTCTAGAGCAGTTGTCTGTCTGTCTAGACTGGCTGTCTAGAGCAGCTCCTGGGATCATAATGAATCTTGATTGCAGTACATTTACTCAGTGAATCAATAAGAGACCTGGATCTGTTTTCCCTGTACAGTAGTAACTGAAGCCATTGTCCTTGGAAGAGCCATCATGACAATGTAGAAGTAACCTAGAAATTCTAGTAATTCTAGAAACCAGTGATGACCCTTCTTTTTCCCTACTCTTGCTGTGTAAGAAAATGTTTGAAGACTCCCAAGGTTAAAATGGGGAGATAATAAAAAATACGTAATTAGGCAAATGCTGGCTTTTCAAATATTGTGCAAAACATTTAAATCTGTTTCCTTTATTGGTCACTTTTACTGCAATTAGAAACCACCACTATGCAATTCATACTCTTAACTGTAGATTTGTGTAGCAAAATTATGTAATAAGTAACAGACAGAATAAACATTTAAAATTAATACATGTACTGGTATGTAAATTAAAGTAGATTTTAAAAAAATACATATACTAGTAGGAATACCTCTGAGACAAGTTTTACAGAGGCTGAGACAGCTGAATGTAACCCATGTATGAAGAGTACATTACTTGCCTTAATGATTTTTGAGTAAAAAAAAAATCAATGCCTTTCCTATGATTAAAACTCTATACAGGTACCAGGTTGCTGGTTTGCTACTAGGGAAGTACTCAGTAAACAGTGTCATGACACAGAGTTTTTTGCAAATGTAAGGAAACCCTGTTCCCTGGAGGTAAATTAATTTGGGCTTAAAATGAAAAAGGAATTTTACTTTGATTCTCAACACATGGGAGCAATTAAGTAACTTCAACATTGCAACACTATTAAAAGACATGGGTTCTGCTCCTTTCCTCTTTTTTACACTGCTCATAAATCACATACTGATAAATAATGTTGAGTTGAATGAACCTGTGAGGAACAAATCAAGGTTTCTTTCAATTTCTCTTTTTGTTGTGAATGCCATTTTATAAAGACTTCAGGTGCGATTTCAAAATTGACCAAAAATAAAACAGGAAATCTTAGTTTTAAAACCCACAGGACAAGAGAACCAGGAAAGCACAAGTAAGTGTTAATAAACATAAGCACATCTGATGTAGTAAGAAATGTTAAGCCATTTAAAATGTACTACTTTTATTGATTGTAACTGAATTCTAATTTATATATAGCAGTAGAGAAGTTAGGGCAAGAGTTTTATTCCCTTTCCTCAAAAACAAAGGTCTGTACACATTAATTGGGTAACACTTCCTTTACAGATAAATCCCTCCAGAAATTGAGAAAATGCTGGGCTAAGCTGAAGCTGCAGTGCAGCAAGAAGGACACACTGACAGTAACTATAGGAAGTGACAGCAGATTGTGGCAGCTCTAGTCCAGTGATGGACTGAAGGAGTTCTAGTCTTGTGTCTAAGCACGACCTGTTCAAACAGGGCAGGTAAAAGCTCCTGCCTGGGACACCTGCCCTGAAGCCTTTGGACTTGCTTTATTTAGAGAAGCTTAGTTCTCAGGTGGCACCTGCTGGCTCCTGGGGGATTACACCCAACCACTTCAAGGTGCTCTTTTTTCTTTCCTTTTCCTCAGCTTGGGAAGAGCTGCCTTCTTCCAGTTTGCTCCTCCATACATTCAGTTACTCAAAATTAATACTAACATAAAAATTTGTTCTTGGTGTCAACTTAGTTATTTAAGAAATAATTTCTTCATAATGCAGCTCACACATCACACTGTTACAAATTGGTGTGCATTAAATCAACAGGACAACTAACATAAACCTTCCAAAATTAACAGCAAAAGAACTGGTTCATGTACCAACCCTACTAAGTCCCACAAACCCTGAAATTTACATGTGTAAGTTAATATAATTAAATTTGCTTCAGTTAAGTAAGGTTATGGATTTGATCAGGAACAATATTTAGCTTACCTGTGATGTAGCCTTCCAAAGCTTTTGGCACCAGTGATTTTGCAGTTCTCAGGTCCTCAGCTGAGCATTTGCCTGCTTCGAGCCCAAAGGACATTCCCATTCTCTTCAGCACCTCGCTGTCATCATGAATCTCAAAAGTATTATCGAAATTAAAGAGGTATTCAAATCTGCATGTAAAAAATTAAAAGTGAGATGGTTCTGAAAAGAGCACAGCTGTGCTCTTCTTGCCTGTTCTTTCCTGGTGGTTTTGCCATGTACTAAGGTAAAAGCATCTGGAGTCCTGGTTTTCTGTAAGGGGTCCTTAAGGAAAGAGAAGTGCAAGAAATGCTTTCTCTTTTCTGTGACTGGCATGCCTACAGGTTTAAAATGGCACATTCTCAATTAAAGTAACTTCACCAGTGCAGGAACAAAGTTTAAAATTTTCTACCTCATTAAGTAGATTCAAAGGGACGAGGGAGGCCTTAATTAAACATGAGCCTTCACTTGCACTAAAGCCAATAAGGTCACCTGAAGCCCTGTCACCAAAATAACTATTTTATTTTTCTGCTTTTACATTTCACTTTCTGTTCTAATGTGCAACACTCCTCCTGTGAACTGACCTATTTACTTTGGGATAATTTTGCTTCTTGGATGCAGCTAGAAAAGCAGTCTGTTCAGAATCTTGTGTGTTCACAACCCACTGTTTCTGCTGCAGAACTCTCAAAATGTTTTTAACTGCATATAAAAGTGGAAATTGAGATATAAACTTCAGACAGCTTTAAGAAATGCAGGGGAATTTAGGCTGGCCTTACACTGTCATCAGACTTGTTAAAAGCCTGGACAGTTCTGGTCTGTTAAATAAGGCTTAGTTCCCAGTACCTCCTTTCCTGCTGACAAAACCTTTATCCTTGGAAAAGCAACTCACTCTGAGATACAGTCTTTAAAAGATAACTCACTGGTGGGTCTTCCATTATCTCTCCAAGCTCATGTCAATTTTCTTGCTAGGTTGTTTGCTAATATTTATTTTCTTATACCTGAACCAGGAAACTTGGAAGCTTTACAGCTCTTGAGTTTACACACAGAATTTTGAATTGGTAATCTAATGTTTTGTGCTGGGTGTAATTATCAGTTACACACAGCATTTCTTCTGTGACTCATATCATATTACTTGTTAAACCTATTGTTTATGTACCTTTATTTATTTCAGCATAATCACATTAAGAAGGGAAATAAGATGTGTCATTTTCATTTTAACCAGTACAATTACATTGCTGCTCCCTAAACTGGCACAGCTTGATGTCATACTAAGCTACTCCAGCAAGCTCTAATTACTGACTCATAACTGAATTGCAATGAATGGCACAGGATCAAAAGCTGCATTTATTGATAGCTCTGCAATTCTTCTCCCATGTGCTGTGCCCAAATACTGGATATTAGAAAGGAAGGCAACTTAATTTTCCTTTCCCAGCCAGTTTCCAAACTGAGAAATTTACAGTCTTCAGTATTTCTCCAGTTTAGTTTCTAGCAGCCTGCAGTCACTGATACAAAAAATCCCTAGACTTCTATTTTGCTGTTAACAGCTTTTTGAGGATTTTCTTTCAGGCACTTGACATGATCCCCTTCTGAACTTATGTAAACTTTTAGCATGAACAAAATCCAATACTACTTGCACAGAGTGTTAAAAAAACCCTTCTTTTTATCATCACCTGGTTTCTTCTCTTAATGTCTCTCAATTTAACAAGCAACTCTGTGCAGCTGTTCTCTATACATGTTCCCATATCACTCATGACTTTTGAGACACCTGGGAATCCAGTGTCCTTCCTAGGCCAAAGAGCCCATCTGCTCCTTCTGTCAAAGCCCTTCCACAGCCTCAGTCCTTCTTGCTGCCCTCCTGTGTCCCTCTGGGTTATGCCATGCTTTTCCCAAGAACATCAGAGTGTAGTATTCCAGATATAAAGCACTAGATGCATCTAGCTTTACACTGTAGTCCTTGCTGTTTTTCCAAGTAATTCCCAGCATGATTTCAGCTGGTACTGAGAAATCAACTTTTGCTCCCACAGGAATTATCCACTGGGCTACCATGTTACCAGTACTACAAGCCAGGTGCAGAGGCTATTAATCTGTGTATGCAAAATTTGGGTTCAATTCCAGTCCTTTTCCCATGATAAGTGCAAATTTGATCACCAGTGATTTTAATCTGGATTTTCTGCTGCTACAGGCAATTCTTTCTGTAAGGGTACAAGAGGCCACTTCCTACACGTTCTTGTAATATACAGCATTGTATCTCCAGTGCTGTACAAAATCTGCATTTCCCCTTAGAGATGTTCTAATTTTCCAAGTTTCTGATACATCTATTGTGTCTGAATACTTGTTAAAAACAAGGTATTCTGGCTACTTTTTCCTTCTTTTTCCTAGGACCAACAGCATTTATACAGAAGTACCATACACACTAAATACATTTTTCCTGTTTAAATGGGACTTACTTATTCAGGTGCCTCATCTTTAAAATTAGTTCTTAACTACTTCCTTTTTACCTGAAGACTTTGCTTTTCCTGCTCCAACTTCAGAAATGCCATTCCCAGCATGCTGCTTGGCACCCATCTACCTTCTCAAACCCTAAACAAAACTTGCCCAAAAACTTCTCTCTTTTCTTTTAAAATTTATTTGTGAGACATTTTGCTCTGTTTTGGCTGTTCTTGTGTAGGAAAACACTTAGAGGACACACACCTATTTTCCTTCTGATACTGTATCACCCTTACATGTACGACATTTCCAAGCAATTACTTTCCTGTAGAAGTTCCTCTGTAAATACAATTTTGAGTAGCTAATGCTGTGAGCTTGGCTCTTCATTGGACTTACTAACACCAGTACTTTATATAAATGTTATCTGGAGAAGAAAGGAAAATGGAAGCCCCTTAAAAAGTGGCTTTCAGTCTGGAACCAAGTGCAGAGCAAGCCCTCAAGCTGACCAGTGATGGAAATACTCTCCAATTAACTGCAGACTGGGAATTCTCCAAACCACCTTTGCTAACTGCCTTATTTAGCAGATCAGTGTAACAGTGGTTAAAACAGAGCAGTTTCTGGCACTGTTTACCTATTACTGCTGCCACTAATTAGTTGCCCAAATAATAACCCCAGTGGAAAGCTGGCTTAATTTGGGTTGTACACTTAATGACCTCCAGGTGACACACTACCACCACTGAGTTATATAAATTGAAGTATCAACAACAATAATTTTGGTGTGCTCACTTTTAGTAGGAGTGTTTTCACACAGCTGGAGAGCACAGAAACGTGTTACACTGCTCTGGATCCCAAATGCCAGATTAATCTCTGACAACTCAAAGCAGCAGTTCTGAAGTTTCACTATGAAATTGTTCAACTCTTTAACAACTTCAAACCTAAATGTAGAGTCCTGTTTAAAAGAGCAGGAAGACCTTTACAGTGAGACCACAGAATAAGGGTATAATTATGCTAAATCAAAAATGATCCTAAAGCTCCCAACTTGCTGAACTGCAGTGCTCTTGAGAGTATTCCACAAGTTTTGTGATAGAATATATTGAACTTCATTGAATTTTCTACAAAAAAATCAGCTTTTAATTGCTGTTTTGCATGTTGGTGCATGGGTTACTAGAGTCTGTCTATTTTTGCTGTGTAATTGACTTGAAGTTCAGTACAGGATTTGCATACCACAGAGAGAAATCTGTAATCTACAGTATTAGAGCAAAGCCAGCTATTTCCAGCTAATAAACTGATTGTGAGCCGATTACCAGTTAAGGTAACAGCACCTCAAACTTCAGCCATATTTTCACAGGATGAAAAGCACAAACACCCACAATTATGTAAACTGGAAGATTTTCAGATTAATGTGAATGCAACTGTAGCACTTTGCTCACAAAGACAGTATTACAAATTTCTGTATCTTTTCCTTCAAAGAACTTTTTGCTGTTAAAAAACACTTTCAAAGTTGTTATCATCACCTGGAATATGTCACTTTTGTGTCACATGGGTAACCTTGTGTTTCTGACTGTGTACATTTTTATGGCATACTAGGAGTAAGAATTCACCTGGCTGCTTTAAAAGGTAGTGCTGTCCTAGTAAATAGTTCCATTCAGTTATTTCTTCTGTGCAGGGAATGCTCTTTGGAATGTCAGCCTGAAGTGCCTTTTACAACAGTGAAAGTCAGCCTGTTTTAACTAGAGATTGTAAGGCAGTGTTAATAAACTCATCCATATTATTACTGCAGTTGCATTAAATATTGAAAAAAACAACAAGCAACCCCCTGAAGTGACAGCAGTGAATGTAAATACATTACTTCTAGTAAACTAGAAAAATTTCCCTCACTTGTTTGAGAAAAAATTCCAGTCAACAAAGAAAATAAAATAAGAAAAATTAATTTCATAAACACTCACTTATCACTTGATATGCTGCAGTCTATAATTGTTCTTTTGCTAGTGTTGACTATTAAGAAAGGCAGCTGTATTGTGGAGGTCAAAGATGGAGGGCCTTGATTTTGCTGTTCATTTTGCTGATTTCTTTGTACCAAGTTTTTAAATGCTATTTGCTGTAAAACAAAAGAAAGAAAAAAATGATCACTGACAATAAAAGAGCAGATATCAGTGTCTCCAGGAAATGAAACCTCACAGGTCTTATTTACCAGCTCTCAATACCTTCAGTAATTTTTTGTCAAAAGTGTGGCCTTACTTTCTCTTGGCACTAGTGAAGTTCAGCAGGAGCAGAAGTTAAACCCAATTTTGGCACACATTTACTATTGACTCTGTTTCCCCTCACACTCCCTGGAGAAGAAACAAGAAAGCAGCAGTAAGGCATGCTGGAGAATGCTTCCCCAATGCCTTTGAAAGGGCTCCAGAGTCAGAGGTCTGCTCTGGTACTTTTTATGTGTAATTGCCTCAGGGTAGGATAGCTACCCTGAAACAAAAGTTCCCCCACTTCCCATATCTGTATTTTTAATCTCTTTCCCTTCTCATCCATCACCTTCTCTCTCTCAAAAGAATTCTCTCTCCTCTGGAATTAAGCAGATGCTGTTTGTGACACCACTCTCTGCCTGCTGGTTTCTTATATCTGACTGCACATGTATGAAAATGTGTGGGTTTAGGAAATATTATTTGAGGGACTAGAAGTCAGTGAACTTACCCACCTGAGGCACTGCTTATTCCATTTAAGGGCAAAAAGATGGATAGCCACAATCCCAAAGGACTGGTAAACCCTTTGGCAACCAACACAATCAGGGCAGTAACAACAGATGTGGACAGTAAGGGAATCAACTCTGTCAATATTTGGACTAAAAGTTAAGAGGGCCTGAGTTGCCTTATTTTCACTGGTGTAATTTCATGTTACTGTTGGAGGAACTGCTGAGATACTGGGTCAGACAGATAGAATCCCAATTGTACCCTAAGTAGAGAAACAGCTTTTGGTGACTAACAAAAAAGCATCAGATATTTGAAAGTTTCAGTGAATATCAATTACATGAAAATTGCCTCAGTGTAGTTGAACCAGCAAAAAAATGTAGCCTTACTGCTTGCAATCTCATAAAATTGTTTGATTACATTTAAATTACTAAAAGTCTGCACAGACTAGAATATTAAGGAATGCTCATAACTGTATTTATAAAATGTTACTTTATAAACAAGATGCATTTGAAATATATTTCAGCAATTAAACCTAAAAGTCATCTTAAAGGTATGTGACAGAAAGTAAAGGTGTTGGATTTGCCAGCCTTCTACTCTTAAGATCCAGAAATGTCCATATTCCTCAAAACAACTCTGCACACATTTACACAAGTTGTTGTGAACTTCATAGCTTAGATCAAAGAGAAAATTTGAAGAATGACTCAGGGTAGCACTGGGGGAACTTAAGAGTGAACAAAGGGGACTTGTGACTTGTTCCCATTCCCACTGAGGTTGGCAAAGCTTCAGCAGAACACTTAGGAAAGCTTGTGGCACACAGATTGAGCGTGCTGGTTTACAGCAGGCAAAACTGAACCACAGAGTATCAGCAAGAGGTCCCCCAGCAGAATCCAGAAAGGTCACAGGGGCCAAACTTTTCTCCTTAGTATGTCACAGCTGTTAGTTAAATCTAGAAAGAACTTCAGAAGGGCTAACATGTTAGATTTACACTTGATATTTTCATTTAAGGGGAAAAAAAATTAAATGTACCTGCAGTAGCAGTTCTTGCAGTTGGGCTCGCTTCTGTTTTATCCTTTCAATCCGCTTCTGCTTTTCTATCTTAAAAGATAAATGTAAATGCATCAAGATACTTAATTACCTTGTCCATTCCCTCGTGCCAAACTGAACAGGCTTTCTTTGTAAATGGGGGCAAATTTCATGGGCATAAGAGTTTCACCATTAAACAGGTCTGGCCAACTGTAACATCTTTCTTTGTCAACAGTTTTAACTCCAGTAAAAATTTAATTATTCCAAGAGACTTTTATGTCCCCCCCCATTCTGCCTCTTCTGTCTTGCACTGAGTGCAAATTGGCACCAGATCAAACACTTGCTCAAGAGGATGCTTTGGGTTTTTTTTCCATTCTGCCTGCCACTCTTTTGAATTGTGCAAGTCCCACTGTTCTCCTAGCTGCAAGCCACTAGACACAAATATATGGAGGCTGGGCTCATGATCACCTATATCCTACCAGTGACCTCCACGTTTTGTTTGAGACCTGACTAAACTGACAAGACTGCAGCAACAAAAACGGCTTGAGGTAACATTTTCTGTGGGAGCAGAGCTCTTCAGCAGTTCATTTACTGCTGGTTGATGTGGCCAAGCTGCTGCACCTGGGACATGCAGGGCTGGGACAGGGCAGAGCTCACCCTGCAGGTACAGCAGGGTCTGGAAGTGACCTCTGGGCAATGCTGAAGAATGGCACAACAGTCATTGGGGCTGAAAGGGCTTTTTGCTCATCCTCCTCTTTGGTGCCATCGCTGTATCACTGGCTCTCAAAATACTAAACTCTTAAACTACCTTTTCATTCAAGCTCTGAAACTAAATAATGTGGTGTTTTAAAGCTTAGCTGGCCCAAACTCCTCTCTATCTTATTTACAAGGTTGCTTTGTGGTGGTTCCCTCCTCACACATTTTAATGTTTAAATGCATCTTTCAGTTGGCTTTCTGTGCAGTGACTCTTAAAACCAGTAAGCAGTACAGCTCTCATTCAGGCATGGTTTCTATGTAACAAGCTCTTTTGCAGTGATTTTTGTACTGGTAATCTTATTACGGATTTACATTGTAAAAACAGTTGCTGCTTTATACAGCCTTAAAAGCAAAATTAATTCTGATTTTCACACCATGAAAATGCAGTTTTGTTTTACATTCTTTTCTATTATGTCAGAGGAAGCAACATTTTTTGAAAAATATGCCTAGCTTCCATTTTGTGCATGTCTAATTAGAGCCTGAAACAGTGAATTGCATATGATTATTGTAGATGAGACAATGAAATTCAAGTTCCATATTTGTAACAATAACCTATGCTGGAGACAATGCATTCACATGAATGCATGCAAAATGTAGATTTATCCAGAATGTAAAAAAACATCCTGGAGCATAATGATTGAACACATGCATTCTCCTTGGATGGATGTATTTTTCAAGTCACTGTAATGGAAAAGGACAGTAAAAGCTTTTCTCTTACCACATCTAGAAAGACAATTGATGTAAATGACCCTGCACAAAAGAACTGTTCTGTACTGCAGAGGCACCACCCACCTTTTAAGATACCTAATGTCCAAGTGTCACAAATGGAGATGTATTTGCAGACAGCCATTACAGCAGGCTGCAGTAAATACAGTGATTTGTGCTTCTTATTTATAGCACATTTGGCCCGAAGGACAGGCAACATTTGTGCATATAAATTCTGGCATCCCTGCAAAAAACACTGTAACTCTTAGCCTGCTGAAAAAATAATGGAAATAACTGATAAGTAAAACTTCTTCTTGCTTTCTCTGGCAGATCATAACAGTATCTGACATTCCAGCATGAATTTTTTTCAATTTAATTCCCTTTGAATTATATTTCCAAGTACAGACATTAATACAGAATTGGTCTCATTTCAAATGGAAACCATTTTGTGAGCATAACTGAACCATAAATTCTTTTGACTTTCTTCTGGTTAATTCAAGGTACTACAGACTTTAATCTTAAAAATAATCCCTGATTTAATCAATGACCATTTTTCTAAGTTAATCAGCTTGGCTTTTTAAGAAAACTAAATATAATATATATTTATATATATATAATGTATATTTACATATATAATATATATAGTATATAGTATACTAAATGAAACTGAACTAAGCATACACAAACATATTATTTCAGTTTATTCCAATATCAGAATTTGTATTTCCATAGTGCACAAGCATCAAAACCAATCAGGTTCAAATTAAGAAAAAAAAATCCCTCTTCTAAAGAAGAGCAAGTCAATTATCACAACATGTGAACAAACCAGAATTTCCCATGTCCTCCCCTTACCTCTAGATTCTGACATTCCTGAGCTGAGTTTGTGGGAAGGCCGATCCATCGGATTTCCTTCTTCTCCTTTGAAATGATGTTCATTGCCATCAGGACGTTGAGCGCATCGTAAACTCTCCGTCGAATGTTCTTCTGATCATAAGCCTGCTAAGAAAACAATACAGCACTAATCACCACAAAAGCATTGAATTAAAAAAGGAAAAGCAATTAAACACATCCTCCACAGACATGGAGAAGCTCAAATGGCAAAATGGCAGTTCTGGTCAGAGTGGTGTTAAACCACCATCCTTCATCTCTGATACCCCTTGGACACCACATGAGGATGCTTGGTTGCAAATGGAAGTTTCAGGCCTTCCTGAAGCATCTCTGCCAGAAATTCCATCATGGCAAGTCTGGCACAGTTGAAAAGCCTGACAAGGCCACATATACAAGAGTAGCTTTTTCTTAAAGTTAGTTATTTTGGCAGATTCCTCTACTTTGTTTATAATTCAGGAGGAGTTCAATTCTTCACCTTAATTCTGTATTTTTAGATTTCAAAGGGTAAATCTTTATATTTGAGAACTAGTTAAGTGAAGGAGAGTATGGACTGTGGCAGGACAGTGCAGAAACAGAATTCCATGACAAAACAGACAAATCTGTATTGGTATAACAAAATTCAACACATATTTGCTTACTGAATCTGTTGCTAGGTGGCTGTTAGAATTTGTGAATTCTGATACGAGCTCGTCGGCGACTTCATTGTATGAAGTTGTTCCTTTACGTTGAACTTTTTCACAAACTTTCATTGAAAAATGCCTCAGACCCTTCCCATTTTTATCTCCTTTCTTGCTTCTCTTACTGAAAAGAGAAAAGTTTTCTTTTAATACATTGAATGTTAATGTACTTTGTTACACAGCAAAAGGTCTGCACTTCGTAACAGAAATCTGGACTATCTAAATGAAAAATAAAAGTTTTGCATCAATTTCTTGTTTCTTACAAGTTGGCAAAAAAGTGCAATAGAGCCCCTTCCTTGACTATTTCTGCATTGGTAGCATTTGAACACATGCTGCTGGGAAGATGCTTAAAATGGATTTGTAATTCATCTCCAGGCAGTCTCAGAAAAGAACAACCAAACAAAAGAGGAAAATCTCCCAGGTTGCTTACGTACCTGGAAGCCATGTTTATGTGGAGCTCTCATGTGTGTGCCTAAAATAGAAAGGCTCAAAGCTCCCTGTGTAATATACAGCAGGAGATCCTAAACTTGGTCATTAGGGGAATTAAAATGTGTCCATCACAGAATATATCCACACATATACATCACAGTATATAGACCTAGAAATACATCTATTCTATGATGTATCCATCGTAGAACAGATACAAGAATCTCTTTTGTGGAGAGTAAGTACAGTGTCATTGGGTTTTAAGGTGCTAAATTAAGAACTGGCAAACTGTCAGGGTTATTTTCCATTCACCTTCTTCCAGAAAAGGTAATGGTAATAGAAAAAAACAGGAGCAGTTGTTTTTATCACACAAACTAGATCTGGATGTGTAATGCAATAGAAGCCTTTAAAAAGTTCAGCTGTGTTGTTTTTGTTTCTTTTTTTCTTTTTTAAAAATTAGTCTCATGGTTTCATTTGACAATGTGTTCCAGGGAGAGCTGTTATTTTACAGAAAAAGGTCCCCTATCAGCAGTAAAAAGCTAAAGAAACTATTAAAAAAAACAAGAATGCTTTTCAAAATTGTGAATGTATCTAAGAAAACAGAATACAGGTAAAATAAACAAAAAAGAGTAAAAAGGAACACCAGCAGACTGAAAAAAAAAACACAACACAGTTTTGATGTGAAGAAGTGAAAACTGCTGAAAACGGGAACTGGGCAGTTTTCTTTCTGAAAGGCAAATCTGAAGTAAAGCAGGCATGACTCTATACACAAAATACACATTGAGTAACACTCACCTTTCTGAAAAATCTGACTCTATAATTTCTTGAGTCCGTTTTCGCTCCCTAAGACAAGACAATTCAAACTTAAGTTGAAAATAACATTATAGAGCACTAAAATCACTGTATATAGGGCCTAACTGGTTCTAGTGTTTGCTGTTACATGTTTACTGAAAGGGAAAAATACAACACACAGAGCTTGACAAAATTTGAGAGAAGTTGGTTAGGACTTTGTGGAGGAAGTTGTCGGAGCTCACTGCCAAACAAATTCTATTCCAAATTTTACCATGCTTTGCCCACAGGAACTGAGGGAAGTGACTTCATCTGGAACTACAGGAAGTGCTGTGTGAGCTAGATGTCCAAAGTCCATCAAAAAGGAGAAGCTGGGCTCCTTTGAAAGTTCCTATTTAAAATTCCTCCATATGGAAGAAAAATGTCTTTAAACAGTGCATAAGATATATCCTATATTTTCAAGCCAGTGAATGTTTAGGAATCTTTAAACAAAACCCAAGGTAAAACACTAAAAATGTTCCTGTTAGAGCTGATGCATACAGAGCTGGAGACAGGCTGAAGAAGCAGCTGCTAAGAATTTTGAACAGCAGCAGCAGCAGCAGTCTGCAATCAGTGGCCATTCCTTATCCCCCAGTTTATTCCCCACAGCAAGCAGGAGCTGCTCTCCAGCCCTGCCTTTTCCTGCAGCAGCCCCAGGCAGTGCCCAAGAGCTGTGCTGAGCTGGGGAACGTTGTCTCTATGCTGTCCAAAGCTGTGCTCCCAGCACAGACCTGACACTGCTGGGAAAGCAGCTAAACAAAAACGAGGGCTTTGAAAAGCTGTGCTTGAAAACCAGCACAGTTTGGTTGTGTGATCCAGAATGCACAACCAGGCCCCTCCCTCAGCAGCACCAAAGGGATTTCTGTCCATGGTGCTTAACTGGGGGCTGAGCAGCTGGGCTGGGGGCAGCCCTGGGCACGGGCCTGGGACAGCAGGGAGCGAGAGCTGGGGCCTGCTCTGCACACCAGGCTGCCAGAGCCTGTGCTGAGTCCTGCCAGTGAACCTGCTCCTCTCATTTTGGAAATAATTTGGAGTCTGTGAAGTAATGGGTAAAGCAAGCTGTCTTCTGAAGTGTCTTCAGCAGCCACAGCTCGCTGCCTCAGTTCAGGAACACCACAGACCCTTCCTTAGCTCTGCTCCTCAAATGAAAATATGGCCCATTGGAAGGATTCTGCATGCAGCACTACTGACTGGTCTGTCTGGAGTCATCTCGAGCCTTTTTATGGACGAAGCTCATTGGAAATCCTGTGTCTCAGCTTGGGCAGCACACAAACAGGACAGTGCTGCCTGGTGGTGGCTGATGCACTGCCCGAGGCTGCTCTGGAACCCCTCCACTGCACGGCACTTTGGAAAGTGAGGTGTGTCAATTCTTTGGTTCAGCAAGCTGTGACCAGACAGCAGAGTCTGTCCCTCTTCTGGGTACTGAAAGAATGTCTGCCGGGCCTCCACATTTCATAAAATGTGCAGAAAAAAGTGATCTTTGACAACTCCTTTCTCAAATAAAATCAGAACTAAGTGCAGGTACTTCAGGAAATGAACACTCAGCTAGGAAAAAAAAAATCAGCTTAAAAACTGTGTGGCTGGGCCTGCAATTTATTGACTCTCTGGGGAGGAATGCAGTAATTGGGAAGTACAACCTATGACAGACCTTGCTAACAGAGTAAAATGGAGAAAAGTCAAGGCACAAATATTGCCCTCTCATTCCTGCTCTCCTAGATGCTCCATTTCCCATCTTTACTGTTGAAAAGGTAATATTGACATTCATCACTGATTAGAAAAATTAATCTAGATGCAGAAATATATTACTTTTTCAGAGGCAAAGCACTACATTTCTGTTTTGAGACAGCTAAGCTCAGCAGTACTGATATTAAAACAAAATACCAAGAAACAATGTAAAGACCAGATTTAATTAGATGAGATAAAGAAAGTCATGTTTGGCTGGAGCACCTCAGAACCCCATGAAACTTGTTGTTAATGTAGAATAGTAATAAAAAGAGCACACTGATTATATTCAAAGTGCTCTATTAGAGTTTATTCTTAAATGCCTGTTGAAGTGTTTTTGACAGTCTCTCCCCCTGTAGGCATCTGCTACTTGGATATACCGTGAACTTCTGGAAAAAATAAAGGCTTCTTTTAACAGGAGCCCTTGTGACTCTCCATTTTCACCAAGAAACAGACACTCAAATAAAAAATCAGAAACCAGAAACCACAATTAAAGCAGGCAGTGAAGTGACTGGTGCTTATAATTTGTGTTTACATGCTCCAGCATCAGAAGTGCCTCCCAGCCTGAAAAGCACATGCTATACCCCCATTTAGTTGTGCTAGAAATAGAAACTGTAAGTCAGCATAGATTCAACAGGATGGAATAGATAGATTCAAATAATGGAAAAGATGAGAAGTGATGCTCAGACACCTCGAAAGAGACAAAAGCCTTACCCTGGGCCCCAGGCAGACGCCTCTGTGATGTGGGTCTGTGTGACCATGGTTGGAGCGGGGGTGTACGGGCTCCCGATCAGAACACTCCCTGAACTGGCCAGTCTTTGTGGGGTGCTTATGATCTGTAACATGTAGCAATAAAAAACACAGCTCTCTAAAGAAAACAGAGGTAAATACAGCCCAAAATCCATACTAAGCATTGCACTAAGAAAAGTAATAAGAATTCTGTACCAGAAGCAGTCACAGTATACAGAAGAGATGGCACCAGAAGATCTTCATTGAGCAAAGCCATTACAGTGCTGCCAAGTTTCCTATTAATTGTACCATATTACTGTGATATTCACATGGACAAGAACCACCCAAATGATTCCAAGTAATTCCTGGGTATGGCAGATAAGGTCTGTACCTCTAGACACCCAATTGTTTCTTCATGAGTACATCTAGGCAACACCTTGATCAATGTAATCAATACAGCCTTCTTTCTTTCCAATGAATTTGTCTCTTGTAATTGTCTATACAAAAAACAATCTGAGCTGCAGGCAAAGCATTCCCTGCAGTTTCTGGCATTCACAAGATCCCAAGGCACTCTGGCAACTAACTGTACCTACAGAATTCAATGTAAAGTCTTTATGGTATAGATAGAATTTACATTTATGCAAACCTGGTGAAATTGTAGGTACACAGGTTAACACAAATACCCAGTCTCAACTTTTAAATCACATCCAAGTTTGTTTTTCAAAGTAGGTGACCAGAATAATTTAAGTAATACTTAAAAATAAAACAGTATTGATAAAGCCAATATTTAAAATGAACAAAATTTAATTACTTTTATTCCATTATGGTAAGATTCATATAAAAGCTTCTGGGACAGTGCTTTTTACTCTTATACCTTACCTAAGTTTTTATAACCTTGTTTTACTTTACTCCATTTATTAGTGACATTTGGAGTAGTGACTGTACTAAACTTTGTGGTTTCCTTTACTATTTAACTTATCCAACAGCTGTGTAAGCATCCCAAGGCACTCAGGTTGTAAGTAGATGCTGTAAGTATAGAGCAGATATATAGGTACTGCAAGTATGTACATATATATGCATATATATATATATATATAAACTAGAGATAACTACACTGCATTTGCTTGGTATCCATCACTATTGTTTAGACAAGTAGAAAAATGGTATGTGAAGAATTCCCCATTTCCTTAGCTTATTGAGCTTTACTTCACACCCCCCCTGGTACAATGTTGTGACTACATACATGTCTTTTTTGTCTTAAAGACATAAATTTATCTCATTTATTGTTTGCAAATGTACAGCTTGACAGAACCAAGGGAAAGGAGATTTTAGAGGAACCAAAACACAGGTGCAGGTTATGTATTTATTTCCTGGTTGGTACTGGAGAATCAAAGGTGCCTGGCAGGCACAGGACAGGTGTCGCTCCTGTCACCTGGCTGGAGCTCCGGCCTGGGGCAGGGCTGTCGGGGCCGGTCGGTGTTCGGGGCAGGGCTGTCGGGGCCGGTCGGTGTTCCGGGGCAGGGCTGTCAGGGGCCGGTCGGTGTTCCGGGGCAGGGCTGTCAGGGGCCCAGTGTTCCGGGGTTCGCTGCAAGGAGCGGCTGAGGCCGGGGCTGCCAAGGGCCCCGTGGCGAGGCACAGCCCGGCCCGGCCCGCGCCGCCCTCTAGCGGCTCCCGGCCGCTCCTGCAGCGCTCCTGCCCCGCGCCGAGCGGCCCCGGAGCCACCGCGGGCAGCCCCGGGCTCGGCTGCGCGCCGGAGCCTCCGCGCTGCTCCAAGGACCCGCAGCGGCACCAGGGTCGGCAACCCGCGGGGGGGAAATAAGGCCTACATACATACATACATTAATTAATTAATTAATTAATTAATCAAGCAGGGTGTTGCTGACACAGGCAGATGGTGAGGGAGCGCCAACATTGCCACTGCTGAGAGCTCGGGAGCGTTCCCTTCTAAACAGCCTGGCACAGCACAGCTGTATATGCTGGGTGTCTTAGAAAGCCCGTGTTAATGGCATTTTATTAAGAAAATGTTTTCTGAATATAGTTCTATCCTTGCAAAGCAGCAGAATAAATGAATAAAAAATAAACAAACAAACAAAAAAAGAATACAAATGGTGTGTCTCACATCACACAGTAGCTTTTTGCACCTTCACCTGCTATAGAACCTAAGCTGCAAGCAGGGCTCACAGAAACCAAAAGCAGGGCTTGAGAAGTCAGTCACAAGAGTAGGAAGTGCATTAAGGGAGTGCTCTCCCTGTTGTGGGCTATTTATTGCACTGCCAGGGCACATCCTCAGTGGCAGAATGTTCCAGGGCACGCCACAGGGCACAGGCCTGTGAGACATCAGCTCTGACGGTCTCAGCTGCTCCTGGCAGGCAGCCCCTGGCCAGCGCTGGGGGCAGAGCTCTGCCAGCTGGGAGTGCCACGGGGGTGGCTGGGATGGGTGGGCCCCTCTGCCCAGCTGGGACAACCCCCACTGAACACTGCTCAGGTGAAAAAGGCCCAACACCATTTTTATGAAACACATCAAATGGTTCTGTTCTCAGGCTAAGTTCTTGGCAAGGAGATATCAGGTTACTAGAAACTATTCACAGTATTGCCTATTTAGCTCTCTGACCAACAGAAAATCTAAATTTTTTCTCAAAATTAGATCCAAAATCCCTGGAACATCAATATACAAATACAGTTATGATGAACAGGAAAAGAGAGTTTTAAGAAGAGTAGTTTCAACAAGTTTAGAATTTCTACCAACACATCAAAGACATTCTCTGACAATTCTGGAGATTTACTGGTGAGAACATGACTTAAAACATTCAAAGAGTATCAACAATGAGAGGATTTTTTTAATACACATTTGAGTAACAGTTAAAGTGTCAGCTGGTAAAGCTGTTTCAATTTCCACTCAAAGCCCAGAAGATAGGTTCCCCCTAAGGGCACTTCCAAGAGCATTGCTGGGAGTGGCAGTTCTGGCATGCCAGGCCTGCTGTGCCCCCAGGTCACCTCCCTGCCATGCAGCTGGGGCACTTTGTGGCTGAGGCAGGAGGCAGCAAGTTCCTCTCGTGTTCCTGTCTTACACCACCAGGAAGTCACAGCCAATTACACAAGTTGGCATTACTGGGGTTGCAAAACTTACCATTTGGGGTCCAACATTCACATTGATTGGTCCCAAGGTTTTTGGCAAAATCTTAGTGGGAGAGTTGGTACTGGAAACTGGCAATGTGATTACTGAAATATTACCTAAAAAGAATGGTAAAAGGAGAGTTTTAAATTACTTCCTTAGTAACCTGTGAAAAACACTTTGGCAAATTCTCACACCACTCTAACACTCTGGAATCAGTTTGGCTTTGTTTTATTTGCTGTGAACACACCTTCAGGTAAGCTCCAGACCTCTCAGCAGATATCACAAGGACACCTCAAAAAACTACACCTTCACTATTTTACTTTTAAAATTACATGTATTTTATTTCCAGAAACAATTTATTCTTACTTAAGACAAAGAGCACACAGCCTGACATTCCTCAGCATTAGAAGTGAAAATTAATGAGAATACTTCTAACAGAAGCCAACATACAAATCCTACTTACAATCATAGTCATATGTAAGAAATATACACCATAAATCTTCAAAACCTTAACCATTCCTCATCTGACTGTCCCAGAGCATTCCAGAGTCATTGCTGATGTAAGCCAGCCACAACCTGCCACTGCACAGATGGAGTAAGTGATGCCTTTACAACCCACCTAAAGTCACAGAGCAGGCAGCTGCATGTCACAGTAAAGTCTCCCATGCCATCTCCAGTGCAGGGTGTTCTCATCCCAAGATGTTTATCATCTCTGTGATCCCAAACTGCTTATGGATCTAAATCATCCTGCCTTCCACAGAGAAGAACAGCTCTGTGCTGACAGCCCCAAAATACTGCTGCTCCTCCTCTATCCCAAATTGCATCTTGGATCTCGATTATTTGGAATTAATGTTTAAATCAAAACTGTTGCAGCACCACTGCTACTCCTTGGGTGTTCAAACTGCTGTGCACAAGCCTCTCCAAGCTCTGAGCACATTGGCTTATCCAGCCTGCCACTGTGGTGGCAGCAGCTCCTTTCTCTGAGACAGCTTCAGAGCAGGAGAGCTGGGAACCCTCAGTCAAACACCAGCCCCGTTCCCAAGCAGCCTGAGCAGCGTGGGGAGGGAGGGCTCTGAGGCACCACCAAATACAAGGAAGAGCTGCCCCTGCCTGGTAATCCAGAGTCAGCCTGGCCCTAGCTGGGGTCATGAGGACAAGGATGGGTTCCTGGAGAGCTCCTAATGTTCTCTGGCACTGCAGCCAGCAGCTGAAGGCATCTGAGGTGACAGGGCCCTTCAGAGCAGCAAGGCACCAGTCCCCTCCCCAGGAGCCAGCCAACAAACACTCAGCTTAGCCCACATGGCCCAAGCTGACTCACTGGTGTTACACACCCCTGCTCCCCTGCCTTTCTCACACCAGCTGTTCACCTCCACTGCCCAGTTTTCTTTTCTTAGTCCTGAATCATGGTCTCTTTTTTTACATTTTATTTCAGTATACCTATTTACCATGAGGTTACTGAAAAATGATAAATTCAACAAAGTAACTTCTCTGCAACAGGAAGCAGAAGCAACACAACTGAAGGGAAAAAGGATCTTCTGTAGTTACAGCACAGCAGTAGAAAAGATGTAGATTTATGTGAAGCCTCACCTTCATAAGAAATGTTCAACAGATATATGAGAAATACAAACAAATTGAGACTAGGATGTTCTAGTGTTCTGTGTAGATTCTTTTGGCATCTGGAGTAATACTACTACTTAATATTAATTTTCCAAAAGGCAAATCTGTATCTGAAAACATCTTCAGAAGAAGCTTGCATCTCTAGTCAATAAAATGAATAAATTATTCAGTCATGTAACTCACCTACAAAAACAAATATAAACCTCCCACACTTGCAAACCCACCCCCTCCAGTAAATCTGCTCTGTTATGAAAAATCTTTTGTGAGGTAGTGCCAGAGAGCACAAGATAGTAATTCATGATTTATATATACTGTGTTCCCATGCTGAGCTCCAAAGAGTTCCCTCACTTGCCAGTTTTACTTTTGCTAGAGGATTTTGCCCAGGATTTCCCAAGCTGTGCCAGCATATTCCATCAACACCCAGTCTCTCCCCTCATCCCAAGCTGGTGCCATCAATGATGTGTCACTTCCCAGTACTGCTGTAGGAATTTTCCTCTTTTCTGCTGCAACTGAAACTTTTGAGCCCACTACCTCCAAGATCAGCTCTCATACTATTTCTTCTTCTCCCTTTTCTTACCAGGGAAAAGAAATCAATTCCTGTCTCTGGTGTTGACAGCGTAAGGTCACAGGGCCAAGTGCAGTAAAATTGTGAAATGTCGGTTTTGGCTCCCAGCTCTTTTACCACAGGGCTACAGCCCAGAGCTGCCTCCAGCTGCCCCTCCCGGCCTGCAGGAGGCACTGGGCTGTCACCTCTGTCCCTGCCAGAGTGGCCCTGTGGGGCTCACAGCACAGGACAATGCTCAGGGCCACCCAGCACACCCAGCACTGGGCACAGCCATGCAGACTGGCATCCCTGGCATCCCTGGGATCCAGCTGCACCTGTGACTGCTCAGAACATTTCATGGATGTTCCCTCACACACACATGCAGACCCATGGCCAAAGCCACACAAACCCACCAGGTTTACTGAGCAGCCTGGGAAAATCCAATAATTAGCAGCTACTGCTGCACTGTGCCTTCATTTACGAGGCTCCCTGCATAATGGGACATTGGCACCACTGGGGTAACTTCAGTAAATACAAGGGGCATTCAAATAACCTGATCTTGATTTAAAAAGACATTTGCTTACATATGGTGTGTGTTTAAATGTCTTTTTGGCCAAAGTTACTGTCAATAAAAAAGATTTTCATCTTCTAATCCCTACACAAATCCCTCATTTTGCAGCAGTACTGTCAAACCAATCTTAAGAGCTGACCAAATTTTCAAAGAAATGTTTCCCCACCCTTGTTCTAACTTTTATTTTCTTCATTGGCAAATATAAATATGTGGATGTGTAGATTTTAAAATACAGAGAGGATGAAAAAGAACCAGTTTGTTTTTATAAGTGAGGTATCTCTTATCCACAGTGGCCAGAAAGAAAGAACAACCAAGTTCCTCACAGTAAGAGGTTGCTTTTTGTGTTTGTCAGCAGTTGAAAAAACTAGTAAACAGAAAGTTTTATCAATTACAAATAAAATATTCCTCCCTACCATTTTCTTTTTTTCCAAATAGCATAATGGTCCAGATACTCATGTAACCTCAATTGCTTCAAATATTATTATTATATCATTATATCATTATATCATTATATTTAGGAGGAAGTAGATGTGACAAAACATTCAACAGATTTCAGTATTCAACTGAAAGCAGAAATATGATCAAACTAACTATATACACTACCACAAAGCAACTGCAAAGGCTTTAAACATGACCAAATTCTAAATAAATGCCAAGTCTTAATAACACCCATCATTTGGGGACAAAAAAGATTACACTGATTTATGTCCCAGGGCACAAGAGCAGTGAGTACAGTGATAAGCTGAACACAATGAGCCCCATCAGCCCTGAGTCACGGTAATCTCACTGCCTGCATGGAAAAGGTCAGCACAGATGGATCAAACTGGAATGATTTGTATAATAATACTCAATTCTTATATAATGTTTCTCAGCAGTACTTTCAAGGCACAAAGGAGGTCAGTGTCATTATTCCCATTTACCTATGGAAAACCAAGCACATGGGAAAGAAACCCACTTAGAACTCTCATAGGGAGGCTTTAGCTGCAATACACAGAGAGTCATCCCAAACTGAGCCTCCTTAGCACTGAAGCAAATTCAGAATAGGAATCTGACAGTGGAGATATATATATATATATATATATATATATATATATATATATATATATATGTATGTTTCTCTCAGAACAAAAGCACTTTGCTTCTACATAAATTATTCTTCCATTCTTCAGTCACCACTTTTGTTGCTTCTCAGGGAGAGAAACCAGTGTTGCTATAATTTCATATTTTAAAAAACCATCATTGCTACATAACTATTATTCTTCCTGGCATTTGTGCAATAATTTTACTGGTGCACAAAAAGAAAAAAATCAATTTAAATGATCTTTAGCTTCAAACAGTCACAGATAAAGTTATTCGTGTTTATGTACATGAATGCTCACATGCACACACAAAGCAGCTCACCAAACTCAGGTTAAATCATTATGTGCCACCCTAAATAGCCTAATTTCACATAAACAACATGCACTCCTATACAAATATGAAGCTAAAGGAATTTTAATGATTTTTTTTCCTGTATAACTAAATCTGTGAGGTCTGCAGCTCAGTTGCAAAGATAATCAGAAACAATGTCAACTGGAGAATCTATAGAATCTGTCACAGCCAGTTTGAAGGAGACCATGGCTGATGGGGAGCACAGCCCAACCAGCTGGGGTTACACACAAAGCATACATCAACAAAAAAACCCATTGAATTTTCAAACAAAACACCAGGGAAGAAGTGGTAATTTGGATTTCATATTCAGAGCTCTAAACAAATGTCCACTTTTTAAAAGTGTCTCAATGAGAGCCATTTTTAATAATACAGCCTACAGCTTGACAATGATGGCAAAAACCCCAGCTCAGAGCTGTGAGATATCAGCAGCCCATTGGGATATTTTGGAATAATGTATGTGATGTGTCCTCAGGGTCCTCTATTACACTAAGACAGATCAGTATGATAAAAGCATATAGAAAAAATTGAATTATTATCACAGTATTAGTACACAAGTATTTTCTTGGTACATTTCTTCATTTGTGCATTGCACAAAATTACTGGACTACAAACCTAACTCTAAAAACTCCATAGAGATGAAATCAAAGAGATCTGTAGAAAGGAAAAAAATAAAATGGGGCAAACAGTTTTTCAATGTACTTCAGGCTTACACTGAGCAGTACAATTCCAGCCTTTTACTGTTCAATTTGAGACAAATCTACAGGAGTTAAGAGCTCTGTGAATCTGAAAGCGCCAGGCACAGGCTGTGGATTACTGCTGCTGATGTCTTGGTCATTTTAGCAGATCTCTTCAAGCATACAATGAAGTACTTCTCTTACAGCAGCCCTGTGCACCAAGTTTTTAAAACACCAGCCCTGTCAGGACTTAGTAAAAGATAGGCACTGTGTAATAGAAAGATGCATTGAAATGAAGTAAGCTGTGAAGTTGTCTTAGAGGTGAAGATTGCCACCCAAAGCAGCCCTCCACAATTATGATGTGATTAATGGCTCCTCCCTCATGGAGCCACTGCAGGACTGGTGCTCTGTGCCTGGACTCCCTTTTCCCTCCACAGCAGCAAACAAAGAACAACAGGTAAACTCATAGGAACTGGGAATACAGTAACAAAGAAGTGGTAACTAAGGACAGCAAGATTCCTCAAAACCTTTGTGGAGTCCACATCACCCACTTTAAGGTAAGAATCCTGCAGCCATGGCCCAGCAGCAGCAGCAGATGTGCCCAGGCCCAGGTGCCCCATGGCTGTGCCCTGGCATCCAGCTGGGCTCTGGGATTCCACTGAGCTGCTCCCCCCAGGCCCCTCTGCTGGGCAGGGCAGATAACAAACACACACCACAGTTTTCTTCTTGGAGAGAAAAGAAAAATGCAACTTGTTTTTAAGCAAAAATGTCTCGCCCTTGAAATCCAACGCTTTCAAAAAGGTCTTCAGTAGAGCAAATGCCCTCTCTCCTCTGTTTCTGAACACATCATAAATGCATCATGCCTCAGTCTAAGGGTGTTATGAAGGCACAGTATAAACAGGCCCAGACATGTAGCAATAAATTGCCTTTATTTTTATTACAGCAAATTATTTAATTTAAATAATGTATATTTAAAAAAACAACAAAAAACCCACAAACAAAAACCCACCACCACCAAAACCCCCAAAACAAACAAAACCCCAAAGAAAGCAAAGTGCCTTTACTAGGAAGCTCACAAAGCCCTGTTAAGAGACAGTGGATCTGAATGCCTGTTTGGAGTTTTTTTACCCCCCCTCCATAATTTCCAGAGTTCAACAGTGGACATGCCAAAAGAAGTAAAGGATATTTTAAACTGAAAGTAAGAGACAGCTTAGATATTGGTTGTATCTGTAGAAGTTTCCCCAGCTTTTATAGAATATTTGATGTTCTAAGAAGAGTAATCCATTGTGAACAAGATATTTTAGTTCAACAGAGATGGCAACAATTTCTAACTATACCTCAAGGTTAACAAAAAAATCATTAAATTATAGCATTTTAAAAAATATACAAAAATTGAGGTAATATGCATCCATCATCCCAAAATATAAAGATAAAGAGTAGGATACAGGTCACTGGGATATTCCCAACAGTAGAGACTCATACTTTAGAAAAGTTATTCAGTTATTTTCTGGACAAATTGATTGCTTGTTTCAGAAATTATTTGAAAATGTTGCTTAGTCTTTTTCCCTAACATCACAACATAATAATCACAAAACAATGAAGCACAATGTGCAATAAATAATTCTCAAAGGCCTCCACCAGTTTGTCATGTTCTGCAAAGTTTAGAAAACTAGGAAGATGCTGTAGCTCCAGCCATTTTCTGTTTAGTTGTCTCAATTTTTCAGTCTCTGAGGTGTGATGGCATCAGCCAGAAATCAACCTTCCTGCTACTACACACATTAGATTATTGCAGTGGATAACAGCAAACCAGTATTTACTTAGAAAGGTTGATTGAAATGTTTCCTGAATTGCAAATCCTTGAGTTTTCTAATATAGATAAGGGGTTTATTTTACTGGAATACCATAGCTGTTATGACTGATCATAAATTGTTTTTGAGTCAAAAGTGATTAATCTAGAAGTGCTAAGATAAAACAGGACAGGACAAAACATAATTATTATTGTAAACTGTGCAGGACATTTAGAAAGAAGTATGACATCATGCTTAGCCTTCTCTGTCATTTTGACTACAACAGAATCAGGGAACATTAGGGTGGGCTAGAAACTGGGAAATTCAGCACATTATTCACCATCAAGGAATGAAAAAAAGGGCTTATGTTATGCTCTTATTATTTTTATTACACCTTCTTTTCCCCTGTGAAATCCTAGATCCTAGCAAAGATCTTCCAACAACTACAGTGGGGATGTATGAAATACATTTTGAACGTTTAAATTCTGAGTATCCCAAATGTGAATCATATATTGCAGTGAAATAAGTCTTAATGTATGTATCAAATAGAATTCTCTTACCTTTTGTTGGACTCTGGTTCTGATCTATAAATCCTTTCAAGTCTCCATTTGTGGAAGTCACACCAACCTGAACAAAACATTTTTGAAGTCTTAAAATATGATAAACCTTTCTATGTTTTCTAATATGCAACTAACAATATTATGAAAGCTTTCTGCATTATGAAACATCATAATCCTATGGACAGTAGAATCTAACAAGTGCATGAGACTCAAGGCAAGGTATCCAGGACATTTGGAAAGTCTACTTTTAACTAAGTTGTTACCTAAAAACCCCTGATTATTCTGTGTACTACATATGACCCAAGCAGCCCATTCTGGCTATGATGGTGTAAGGCACCATCCCCTCCAAGTCCAAAGGAGCAGCTGCCACCAATAACAGCAGAAATCTGCCCATGTCCAATTGCCTCAGCACCAAGCTGCACACTCTACAGGTAGGAGATGTGACTATTCATTCTAAATACATTCCCTAGTCTTCAGAGATACACTGATTTACTGAGGGGAAGTTACTGCAGATGTGGAAAACTTAAATCTTATACAGAATAGTGCAACTCAGACTTTAGCACGCACACAAAGCATAGGAAGGTTTAGTTTGTACAGAAAAACACAAGATCATCCTGGATGAGGAAGGGAAGAGATGGGAAGTCCCTCATATCCCAACCTCTTTTTAAAATATTATAAAATTTGAGTACTTCTGTAAATCATTGGGACAAAGGGTTCCACTATCCAAGTTAAAAGAAGGCAATCATATGATGAAGGATCAAACATTTTGCTTTATTTTACAGATGTATATAGCAATAATGGAACCTATGCTAGGGCCACTTGAAGAATTTTAATATACTCCTGTCAGAGCATCATTTAATTTTAGGTAAATTAAACTTAACTAAAATAAACTACACAAGACAAAAGAATAGCTGCTATAAGCATTCAGTCTCTCAATATTCAGCAGGTAATTTTTGTAGGGGAAAATCTGCACACACTGCTTTGTGACAGACTCTTGAAAATACTTCTACTAAAATTTTGCCCCCATCAGGAGACACGTAGGAAGATCAACTGTTGCTGCACTACTCTGATTGTAGAACACTGCCCAAGTGAGCTCAGTGATGTGCTCCTATAAACGAGCCCTCAGTTTATCTCAGGCATTGTCACTGTCAGACTGTCCCTTCCCTGCCCTTCCTGGCACACCCAGCCAGAGCCTCCTCGCTCCCAGCCTGGGCTGCTGTGCTGTCCCCCGGGGCTGTGTCAGAGGCTGTCCCACTGTCCCTCCCACCGCAGGGCTGCCTCCCAGCAGGTGGCACCGGTGCAGCAGCCATGCAGCAGGGCCGGGAGGGCCCGAGCAGGGCAAGGGGAGAGGACATACAAACAAACCAACCACAGCGTCTCCTTGGCAGGTCTGGCAGCAGAGCCAGGAGAAGAGCAGCACTCCAGGCTCTCCTGTGCACGGGCACAAGGAACACTCCTTGTGTGGTAAGAGGCCACTGGGGCTCCTCATCCTGAGGATGTGTTCTTGAGGAGATGTTTAACAGAGGCTGGCACAGCTGGGAGCTGCACAGGGTAAAGCTCTGCAAGGCCCGGCCAAGGACAAGAGGCTGCACTGCTGGCTCACACCTCTGCTGCCTTTACACCAACAACAGTGCCAGCTTCTCCCTGGAGCCCTGCCTGCCTCTGTGGCAACTAGAACAACACCAGTGGGAGACACTTTAAATTCAGGGAAAGAATAGGGGCCCACAGGGATAAATATCATGGTAGATTATGGGCCTCAACTCATTCCAAGAGAAGGGATTACAAGGAACATCTTCAAAGACAGCACTGAAATGTGTTCACAATTGAACATTCAGCTCTAGATCTACAAGTGTACATTTCCCTATTCAGATCAGTGTTTCAATAAAACACTGAGGATGACGTACATATACAGTGTCAGAATGAAAATTCTAACTTCTACATTTAATTCTCTGAAAGATTTTGTGTGTGTTGTACTTCAGTGATCCAAATGACACAAAGTTACAGAACTTCAGTTTGCACAGAAATATGTTGTTTTCATTACAATGATCCTAGTAGCACATTTACAAAGAGCAGCACTTCTCTCAATTTTATAATCCTTGTATCTAAGTTTAGAAGAGCTTGAAGACAAACTTGAATTTCATGAGAACCGAAGTGAGAAATGTGGCAGATCTAAAGGAATTTGTTTCTCCTGCAGAAGATTGATCCTATGTCCTCAGAAGAAGCAATGTGTGATGGAACATTATAATACTGCAGCACAGCAGGGCCTTCATAGGATTCCATCTCAGTGTTCAAGAGGTCCCAGGCCACACTTATCTGAGACACCACACATTGCTTTTGGGAATCTTGTACTGTAACAACTCCTAAGCTGGAACCAGTACACAATCCAATGCTTAACTGGTATCATTTGTTACTTTTTGTACTGCTCCTGTGATATTTCTACTTTGTAACACTGGCCCAGAGTGCCTGGTTCCTGGGATAGCAGGAGCTGGACTCTCTTCTGTTCATCTGCAGCACAAGGAACCCAGCCACGATGGAAGATGAAGAAAGGACCTGGCAGGCTTTGCATATACTGAATATCTTAGAGGTGTGTTTGCCTTTCCTGTTAGTGACTAAGTTTCCAAACAGGGTGAGGGGAAAGAAAGAGTCACAGCCAGAGTCTTGGATGGGGCCAACTGCCATGAGCAGCTCCTGTAGCCCAGCCCTCCCTGCTGCTTGGCTGGGCAGTCTCTGTGACCACCCTCAGCAGTGAAACTCTGCTCCATGCTGAATGTGAAAGGAGAACATCACAGACATTTAACTGACCTTATCTATGGCAAGACAGCCACCCTCTGAGAAGCACTGACAAATAACTTCACAATCAAAACTTAACAGTCTTATTCAAAAAACTTGCTGGAGTTATATCACTCATTTGTTTGAGTAAACTAAACTAAAATTTACCATGAGTATTTGCTCTTTTTTTCTTCCATTTGTTAATACTCTTTTGGTGTCTTTTTACCTGAAGGACTGATGGGAAAGGAGAGACAAAACAGGCAAGAAAAAACCCCACATTTTCTTATAGAAGGAAAGAATGAAATAACCCAGTTGGACAGGGTGATTTGAATTACATCTGGGCACAATGTATATGGTAAGCACATAAACATCTTTTTTCCAACAGAACCTGGAACTTTTATTCAACATTTTATTATTCATAGCTTCTTTGGTCGGATTAGTTTTCTAAGGAAGGTCAAATTACCCACAAGCAATATTCCACAGACAGATACCAGAGAGGGTCCTGTGTTTAAAGAAAATGAGCAGCAAGCCCAGCCTGGATAATTTTCCCACCACACACTCGGAGTTTGGAAGGTAAAACAGCAACGGGGAAGGTTTTTCATCTTGCACACACATCCAGTCTACAGGAACAGTCTGGCACGTGCTTGGAGCACAAGCTGGCTGGACAGGAGGTTGCTCAACACAGCTTCCTGCAAGGTGGAAATTCCAGCTGTGGCATTCCAGCTACAGCTCACTGGAGGGCTGTGATGCAGCAGGAGCACACACATGCCCAGCTGAGCAGCAGTGATTGCAGAATGCAGAGGTGGCAGCTTCCTGCCATGCACATTTGACAGAAGCCCTTCAAGAGTTTCTGGAAGATGCTCAAATTCCAGCACTTTAAAACTTCCTTTCCTTGATGCTTCAACATAAAGGAAAAGGATGGAAGTACCCTCCCAAGAGAGCTCTCTCCCTCAAGTCACTCTGCAGATCACTAAACCATTTCTGACACTATAACAAATATTAACCTTACATTTGAAACAAATTTTGAGCTGCAGAACCTCCAGGCATATACAGAATCTAAACCCTGCAACTCTGCAAACTCAGAAGCATGATGGCCTTCTGACAGCACCAGGAAACACCAGGGCTGACACTATTCTGAGGAACCACAGCAATTCTGAGTAACCAAGGCTGGGAAAACCCTAAGAAGTGCTACCAATGACACAAAGCATATGACCACCACATGAACAGGTAAACATGAAAACTGAGTCCTACATTCATCTGTACCACAGCAGCTGATTTTTTTAAACATAAACCCATAAATATTAGGTATCTGACTAGGTTTGACTGATTTTGACATGCAAAATTTTAAAGTATGCATACCAATAAAACATTTCTTCTCTAAAGTAACCACAGCATTGTGCTGAAATAAACAACCAAATTATAGTTGTATATTCAGAACAAGAGTAGGTTACCCAGAGTGAATGTCACATCTGTCCTCGGAGATTTTCAAAAGCCAAAGCCCTGATGGAGCCCTGAGCAAAGCACCAAGGAGTTGGGCTCCAGTGTCAAAGAGCTTTAGACAAAACCCCAGAGTAGATGGCCTCCTGAAATCCCCTCCAGCCTGTGCCACTCTGTGACACAGCACTCCATGGATTTTATTGGGATTGGTATTTATCCTTTGACTGCATCAAACAAAAGGTCAAAGCCACAAATGACCTGGATTTGCGCAGCTGTCCCACATACATCAGTAGAATTATTTATTTGTACTAGAGATGAATATGACCTATGAAATAATAAGCAAAGGGCTTTGAATATACACATCAGTTTACTTTATGTCTTGGTAAGCTTGAATCAAAAAGTGAGATATAAGACACCTCAAAAGCCTGGAGCCACACTCCAAATGAAGCTATTAATAAAGCCAACAGAAATTTCCACCACTTGAGAATTAATTTAAACCAAACTATATCATTGGCACCAATCTAACCCAATATGCACAAAAGCTTTTGCAGTTACTGAACAGAGCACAATCCTGGGCTGCCTGCACTTTCATTGTGGGGCACTTCTTTGGTGGTGTTGGCTCCTAAACCCCCTCAGATTTAACTAGAATGCAGGATGTCAACAGGCAAATTGCCCAAGGCCCAAAGTCACCCTCAATTCACTGATCACCAGGATTAACCAGAACTGCTCTCTACACAAGCTGTGTATCTCAGGAAGCACAGCTAATTAGGCAGAAAATTAAGGTCAGGATGTTAAGACATTTCATAAGCTTCCTCAGAACTCGGGATAGAGGAGTCAAATATAGAGCCTGAGACACCACTACAGGCTGGGTAATGAGCAAGCAAAGGAAGCAGAAGGCCTCCAGTCTTCTAGAAACCAAGAGTGTACCAACAGCAGCCAAATAATATGCAGTCTTTCTATTTTTTCTTGAGATCTGAGACTCAGACTCAGTCAGTTAGAAGGATTTTACAGAGGTGCAAAGGTGAGAAGATTCAACAAAATGTGCAGCTTTCACCTAAGTTTGAAGAAATGTTTGAGAAATCACAGACTCACAGAATATCTCAAATTGGAAGGGACCTGAATGGATCAATATGAAAACAGCATAAAACATTGCCTCAGTTATCAATCTGACCTACTAAACTCCACATGCTTAAAGAGATTCTAACCAGTATAAATTTATCAAAATACTGCCGAAGATGATGGGATACATATTTGTGGCATACAAAAATCAGCTAAGATTTCTGAATTTGAAGATCTTTGTGATTGATTTCTTGTATTTGTCCACACAGTTCTGAAAGTCAGCAGTGAGTGGCAGAATGCCAGTATGAACAGTAACACATGTTGAAGAGGCATACTTACATTTTTTGCCGTCATGTCAGACAGTATTGCTTTATATTTCATAAAGCCATAAGATATCCCTTTTCATCTTCACAGAATCTTTAAAATGAACATCCTGTAAGACAGTTAATGAAATATCTTAGTTGAAACCCAAGCTTCTGAGAAAATAATCCCCACAATAGTCAGGTTCTGCCGAAATACTAAAAATGGTCATTGATTGGAAGAGGCAGAGATGAAATCCTATGTATAAACGCCCAACTTACATAAAGGCCTGACTACGTTAATTTGCTAGCAAACAATGTTATATCATTGCTAAAGTTTTGTAGTTAAAACCATGCAATTTTTGCATTTAATGCAGATTTGCTTTAAAAATGGAAGTGAATTACTTCTCTCCACTGTCTCTTTAGCCAGCAACAGAGAAGGCTTTTAATCAAATGTATATATAGAAAAAACAGAAAACACTCAGAATTTTTAGGAAACATGCAAGAAAAAAAATTCAGCTCTAAATCATCTTTTAAATATTTCCATGCTTTTTCATTAAACCTGTGTAGTTAGAATTATAATATTAGAATTCCAGGAAAAGATAAAAATGTTAGATCACCAAAAAATAGTTTAAAGTGACTTATTTTTTAAACGAAAGCTTCCAGAAGCCTTACAGAAAACAGAAGAAAAGTTACAAATCAATGTTGTCAACACAAACCATTTTAAAGATAGAATTAACTTGACAAAATGTTTAGATACCTTGAAAAGTACTTTAGAAATACTACTTGCAGTTTAAAAATGGACCACAAAAGACATCTGAATTGCATTTGGATGAATAAGAGAGAGAGAACTGTTCACACTTAAGTGTGGAATCAATTCAGTAAAATTAGGAAGATACCTAAACTACTTATCAAAGAAGAGTCATGACCATTTACAGCAGAACTCAGCAGCTACAAAAGCAGGATGCCATTTATGCCATTTCCTCTGTGGTTTAACCTATGTCAAGTTTGAGAATGGCCACTGTCTTCACCTCCCTCCAGGAAAGTGCCAGGGGCTGTTTAGTAGTGCGTGCAACTAATGAGGAACTCTACCATCACATCCCATCACTGCTGGAGTAGTTTGGGATTACCCAGAGAATTTTGAATTCTAGGCTGTTTCTACACGTTTCTTGGTTTATTCAGACATCATATCAATTAAACTGTTAGTGGAAAACCATTTTATTCAGCATAGAGGCATCCTCCACTTCCTGTTGATTGAATTGTACTTATCTTCCTTGGTGCCTCCCTTTATTGCAGCCATAATGAAGCAGTTACTCCAGAACACCACACAAATCTACTAAGACATTCTCCTGTGAAAACTTGTACATTTTAGTTTCACCACCAAACACCCAAGAAAATAATACAAATTTTTCTCTGGCTTTAGAGAAGATACTACAAAGAGGTATCTATTCCCACCCTGGGGAAAGGAGCTACTGGATCTGTAGTAATCCTGAAACCTGAAGCCATAAAGCTACAGAGGTCATGGCAAGGAGCAAATACTGAATTCTTGCAATGCATCTGAAAATTATGATCTTTGGTGCCTATTCTTTTTTGACATTTCTGACCCCTGCAGATGAACTCTCCAAATCCATCATCTGCAGCTCTGGCCAAAATTCCCGTTGCAGTCTGACCTCCCTCTCTTTAAGAGGCTTTACAAGTAATTCACTCAAATAAAATGTAGTTAAGAACATAATTGCTGAGCAGTTTTAACTTATTTGCAGATAAGCAAACTAGGTTCATCATGACAAGTTATTTGCTGTCAAGCTTAATGATGCAGAAGGTATTGTCCATAAACTATTACAGTCCTTTGCCACAATGCTCCTCAGCCAGTAAGAACAGTTGGGATTCTTCCAGCTTTATGAACACATTTTGTCAAGCCCGAGCAGCCAGACTTTGTGACCCCACCATCTGCCATGACCTCTTGTCAGGTTCAGACAAAAGAACCGACACAGATGGCCTCAAAATGGAGATTTTCTTCATTCCCAGTTGCTGCATGTGCTTGCACCACACAGACAGAAAAACATAAAACTCAACCTTTTTTCTTCTTTAGCTGGTTTCTGCTGAAATGAAGCTGCATAAAGACAGAGCCCAGAGCACGTGAGACACAAAGATCACTTTTTTTGGAACTACATTTGTCCCTTCCTAGGCTAAGTCCTGGTTTATAATCCACTCCCATAAAATTGCCTTTTGGTCATATATTGTACGGTACAAGGAGCCAATCAAACTGCCTGACTTTGTAAACTCTGAGCTGTAGCTTCCTTTAGAACATATTTTCTAATCACTTATGCCACTGATACTAAAAAGCCAGTTTGAGCATGACACTTACAAAAGCCCAGGTAATCAAGCTCTAGTTATAGCAAAACAGTACAGGAGTTTTATCTGTACCTATTCTAACTACAAGTTAAATGCCAGATCTATTCTGATCTTTTGGTGATTTTGAAGCTGAATTCCAGTGCAACAAACAGTGCAAAACAGAAAACAGTTATCTGCAGGACAACATTGCATTCCTTCTTATGTTTATTTTCAATCTATTGCCCAGTCTTATTTTTAAATTACCCCATAAGACAACATAACAATCTGTTCTCTGCTTTACCAAACTTACCCTGGTTTCTCTTCTAAAATTTGATCAGTACAAGTCAGACCCTCACCTAGACCAGCACCATGCAAAGATCCTCCTCAGTGCCAGAGGCCAGTTCCCACAGAAAGTGCCATTTATGTAATATTACATCAGTCCTAAACATCTACAAATGAAGACGACTACTGGACAATCACCTAAATTTTTATGATGAAAAGTCTTTACAGAACACACAAAAGATTAAAAAAAAGAGATATTTTAGTATCCTAGGATGATTTTTATCACCACTAAGGAGTGTTTTTTCTCATTTACCTGATAAACAGTATTGTAAAGTGAAAATTATTCCAGGTAACTGGGTCAGCTAAGAGGAAAGTGTGATGAGTTTCAAGAAAAAGAAACCTGTACAACATCAGTCTTTCCACAAGAAAGTGATTTATACTCTTCATATCCCTCTCCATAGTACTAACTTCCAACTATTACAAGACTGATTTCAGAGGACAGCAGTAACAAAAAGACTCCTTATTAATCAGTACAGGCTCAGTTTTAAACCACTAATTTATGCACAGCATCTTCATGGCTTAGACCACCTGTTACACATATGCTGCTTCAGTGTGTCTCAAGTTTTCAGATCAGTAAAATTTCAAAATTATTAAGTACTTATCAGAAATCCACCTGCTCTCAGGAAGTGTTTCTCCAGCTTGCTCCTAAAACATGTTTCAATACCTAACTCCTTTTTGGAAAAAAAGACAGGAATGCCATATAACATCCAGCTTGTCACTCAATGAAGCTCTTCAAAAAAGCCAACCAAGGTATATATTCAACAAGTCACACACACAGGATAGGAAATAAGTCACCATCTTCAGCTGTCACACAGTAATTTTTATTTTGAAAATAACATTAGAAAGTAGCTCTAAGGAAGCCTTTGAAAGGAACTTCCACCATGACGTGTATGACGAAAGTCTGGCAGGTATCACAACTTATTTTTCCAGCCTTTACTGTGAGCAACTGTATGCCTTCAAAACAGTCCTAGTAGATATCAGACAAGGTGATTAGAGAGACTGAACAAAGCAAGTCTGACTTGACCACCAAATGATATTACAAATTTTTAACAAAATAAAATAATTTGAGAAGAGTATTCAGTTTAAAAGTGTCATTGTTTAATGACACTTGAATTAAATTAAATTGAATTAAAAGGCTGCAGCCTGCGAATCCAAAGCACAGAAGTTCTCTCAACTATACAACACAAAAAGGAAATGAGCATTACTGCTTTAAACCTAGATCCAAATGAAAGATAAAACTACCTGAACCCAAATTGAAAGTGAAGATCTCATCTTGTAGTTAAGATCGAGCAAAATGCCAATGTATCATCAAAAAAATTAACTGACACCTCCTGGCAACAGCAGTGATTATGACTCAAGTTCACACAGCACAAAGAACTCGGAAAAACAGAGGAGGCATTCCTGCAAGTTCAATGAGTATAAACTGTAGCACTTCAGCTCCATGAGAGAGATCCACCAAACTGGGGGGTTTGCTAAAAGCAAATGTCCCCTCAAGGGCTGAATGTAGCAAATACTGAGGCAACAAATGAACTGGATTCCATTCGGGACTCTCAGAGTGGATCCCAAATGCTACAACCCAATTACTCCCACTATTTATTGTATTTACTCACTGTTGTACCCATTATTTACTACTAGTGTACACAGTACATGACTGTACATGTATACTTGACTAGAAAAAGCACTGTTTGATGGAGGCTACTCAATATCCTGAATCCCAGCAATGAAGACAGGTCTGACTGAGAAGAACACGTAACATGGGAAGAAAATCCAAAGCTGGATTCAAACTCTCTCCTAGCTGAAAGTGCTCAAGGTCTCCATTCATTCAACTGCACTGCTGACCCTCAAGTTCTGCTGCTTGCCCAGGGCTGCCAGTGCTGGGTGCCCATTCCCAGCAGCCTGGGCCTGGCTGCTCCTCAGGCACGTTCCTGGACACGCTCAGTGCCAACGACGGGGGCAGCAATCACGGCTTCTTGCTAAATCAGTGGGGTGGAGCATGTTTCTTATTGTCCAAATGAGGAGAATTACATTAAACATGTGGAATAATTCCCAAGCACTTGAACCTTTGAAGGCTCTTTTAATTCCCCAAACCAGCTTACTGTCATTCAAGATAGAGTACACAGGGCCTGACATCAGCACAGGGGGGAACATTCATGCACACTTAAAGTATGATCTAAAACATCTTTTTGAGATTTATAGACAACTTTTATCTATTCTATAAGCTCACTTTTTGTTCTCTGACTGGGTTTCTAGCCCATAGCTGACTGCTATACAGGCACAACACTTGGGAGTCTGCTGCTTCAGTAGTAAGGAGCAGGTACAACTTCCTTTCAGAGTAAACAGCACACTGTATTTTCACAAACACATTTTTGCCTGAAGAAATTTCATTGTCACAACGGATTGACATTTGAAAAAAAATTAGTGATTTATGTGATGACTGTAAAATACCATGGTAAGATGGTGT